GGTTGAGAGAATAGATACATTACACATTTCTAAGATCTCTGATATCCCAGTAGATGACAGCAACAGCGATAGATCAGAGTCCACAATAGATGGGAGAACACACTTCTTGTCATGAAATGTTTATTGCCTGTTCTCAGATATGCACACCATCTGTCGCTAACGTGACTAGGGTTGAATAACAGGCTTTTGACTTGACCTAAACATACATTTTTCTTCAATTTATGGCATAGAATGTTTTGTCAAATGGCTTCTTCCACAGACTCTGGCAGTTGGAGTCAGCATTCATTCTTTGATTCAAATTTCCACTGTCATGGCGGCTTCACTGTCACATTCTCGTCTATCATATGGCCAGACACTTCGCCGTTGTGGGCTGCTCATGTTGATTCAACTCTCTGGTTCACACACATTCATTCTTCCACGGCACTTGTCCAAGTACCAAACACAGAATGATTTTTACTTTTTTTTTCACACTTCTAATTATCTGTTCAAGCCCACACAATATCCTTGTATCATTGATTCACACGTTTCATCACAATCATACTAACCTCATGATTGTCTTTTCTGGCCTGTGGCCACTTTAAGCCCCCGCCTCACACATAATTTATATTAACTAGATGCTTATACAAAACTCCCCTTAATGTGATACACTTGTGTCACTACAGCAGGCGCACACAGAACCAGTGGCATCTATGTTTGTCAAGAACAGGTCACTGCAGAAATGGACATAGGTCACTGCAGAAATGGACATAGGTCATGGCAGAAATGAACATAGGTCCCTGCAGAAATGAACATAGGTCACTGCAGAAATGAACATAGGTCACTGCAGAAATTGACATAGGTCATGGCAGAAATGAACATAGGTCCCTGCAGAAATGGATATCTACAGGATTGTGTCACAACTGGAAAAGACTTGATTTAGTCTTTTGATTTAGTCTTCTCGGAGCGATAGAGTTAAGTAGTGCATTAGTGATTCTGTCATACCACTGTATCCTGTTTATCCTGAGCAAGCCCCAGTTTATGAACATTTGTAGTTGTCACGACAGTGGTAGCCCTTAAAGAACTCATCACTTACCAGCGGACAAAATAGAAACAGAAAGAGAGAAGAGGAGTAGTTAAAGTCACTTGCAACACTGCTTTCACAAACTGATTGCCACAACAATCTAAAGCAAAATCATGATCATTTTCACAATAAAGTCTTTTAATGTACTTTCTTTGTTGTTGCAATTTGTCAGAACACAGATGCATACACTATGGTTTCTACTACACTGCGCATGTTGATGTATAATTATCATATAGACAGTACAAATTCAAACTGCTGCCACCAATATTGAGCCAAAAGTAACTCACAAATAAGTGGTTAATGAGTGCACATGCTAAAATGTTTGGACTGGAGCCAACAGAGAAAGAGAAATGTGGTCAGACAAATACAATTTGTAGATACAGATTACACAAGTGTTGCTCAACCTTTTACACCCGGCGGCCCACCAAAACAGGAAAACTGTGGCCGATCTGACAGCTAACTAAACACACCGAAACAAAAAACAAATGTAGATGGCAGTTTTCTTGTTTAATCCAGAGTCGCACAATTATAGTTTTCAGATAATGTGACATCTGCTGCTGCTGCTCAGAGGTAAGAAAATATGATATACATGGCAGGGGAAGGGGTTTAATTCTGAAAGACAAAAGACACTGTTGGTGAAGCTATAGAATTATGGTCTCAAGAAGGTGGAACATTGGATATGGTCATAACGATGAAGCTAGAGAACACGTTCAAAAAGAAGAGTTGGAGAACACGCTGAAATAAGCCTAGCCATTGAACCTAACAAAAAAAAGCAACTTGACATTATATCCACTATCAAATAAACTGTCAGTGATACATTAAGACTGTCTGTGTCACACCGCTTCCAAGTGACTGTTTAAACCTTTCACTTCTCTGTGGTCAGGACCACATGTCCTGGCCATCTGATTCCTCTTATCTATAAAAGTCCTGACTTCAAGATCCCCAGACAACACAAGCATCTTCTATGGGAAGATCTCCTCAAGTTCAACCTGCTGGCTGTAGAGTGGCACTGAGATTTCAGTCTTGCATTTCTTCGGGCACCTCATGTGGACCCAGGATGCCAGGAACTGCCAACTGCTGCTTACGTTTTTCCTCCTGGGCATGCCTGATTGCACTGTCTCGCTCCTCCAGGAACAGGTCGTCCAGATCCTCACCAGCAAACTCCTTCAAAGGGAAGAGAAACTACGATATTCACAAGTGCAGAAATATAAATGTATTCGGTAATGACAAATCTATTTAACATGATTGCTGGACACTGGAGTAAAGCATGGGGAAACACGTCTATGCTGACCATGAAGTCGAGACAGCAGACAATATAACCTACTCCTCATAGGGACAATCAGTACAGGTATACTGGAGCGGCTGCTGAATCAGAGGATATATGGGATAGTGCAGTAAGGTCGACTGTGATAACATAATGTAACATAACATAACATAACATAACGGTATAAGAACTAAACTGATTTCAACAATCTGAGATGCACTGGACATACATCATCACCAACATCCTGGCGTGTTGTTATACATCACTCGGGACTCACCGTCTAGTCCTTGGTTTCCTTCTAACCTGTCAATCACTTCGATATCATGGAGAGAATCCAGTTCTGCATCTTTGGCTGCTCTCAGCATTCATCTTAGGTTTTCTCTTGAACATTATATTCTTACATTCTATTTGTTTCCCATTTCAGTATCTGTGTGATGACTATATGTGCTTCTTCTCATGATGTGCCCAATTTATTGCCATCTCCAGTGCCCTATAACTGTACAACAAGCAGCTGTCCAAACATTTTTCTGATTTGTTCACCTTTCCTGAATTCATCCCATTTACCGCTGACATAACTTGCCCCATATTTACACAGACCAATAAAACTGATCAACAAACTAAACAAAAACTGATCAACATACTTAACAAAAACTGATCAACATACTAAACAAAAACTGATCAACATACTAAACAACAGAGTAATTAATGTATCAACAAAACCATTAACATAACAAATGAGACAAAGCAAAATAGCAATAAATGTAACACACACAAAAAACAAAACAAGAACATACAGAACAACCAAAAATACCTCAATCAATCATCACTTACCCTAATCTGAACCAAGAAATCTCTTAAATGTTCCTTCAGAGCATTGCAGTCTTGGTCGAAGCTGAAGAGACCTTCAATGAAAATCTTGATCTGCTGCCTAAGAAAAAAACACAAAAAGTCAATCACTCAAATAGTCAAATGTTTATAGAATACACTTAAAACACAACTGGTGGAAATGACAATCCTCATGGATAATGCAAACATATGGGCAGAAGAGAAAATGAATGAGGAAGCCTTTGAAGAAACAAGTGAAAATCTGATACTGATTACAGACATTCGCTGGAGAAAGTAAAGATTTTAGGACATGTTATACAAGAAGTGCTGAGTTAAGAACTAACACTATAGCAGTTGGGACATTCTCATAAATGCTCAGTCTCCATCTTCAGAAGCGCAGTTTCAGTTCCAATGGTACCTGTAGTGGAGTGTATGTCAATCTTGCTTTTCCCCTGAATGTAAGCAAAGGGGAGACAAAGAGATACATTCCTGAGTGGCTTGACCACATGGCATAAGAAAGGAACACAGACTTGATCTAGGACTGCTGGTCATGTAAGATGACAAAATATGGCCACCCAAGCTAATCAGCATGGCGCACAATGATTCGCATAACTGACAGAGACAGTTACACATATGGCAGTCATTAAATATTTCTATTACTTTTGGTGTTTGTAAATGTCTAAACTGGCCAATGCCTGTACAATCTCAGAGTTGGTTCTTACAGTTACTAAGATGTTTGTAAAAGTGAGAGACAGGCAGAGGCAGACACAAACTGGTTACAGTGAGTCAAGAGGTGAAGTAAAGATGAAGGGCAGTGTTAGAAAGAATAAACAAACTTTCCTTCCAAGAATCACGATTTCAGCAGGCAGGTATGTCTTACATCTACCCTTTTCTATCTATCGTCTTTCACAGATTTATGAACACATTCAGCTTTATGAATACCAAATTAATTTAATACAAAAATACAAACATATTGAGTATAGACACAGAATATAATAATACACACGTGATAAGACATGCGGAGAATCCAATGGTGCTGGCAGTGAGAGCCGACAATATGAAAATGAAAACACCAAGAGGCACAGGAAACACTTAACGAAGATGGACTGAAGCAGTCACTGACAACCTTTGACTTCACAACATCACAGCATTCCTAGGACTTAAGCATGTCCTAGCTCAGCCTCCTATCATTTGTTATACTGACATTCTAGCAGCCCACAGCAAATACTGGCAGAAGAAGATCAGACACCATGTGCCCACTCACCCCCAGTAAGGCAGCGGATGAGGAGTGCTGAGTGAGTACGGAGCTAAGAACTGACACCACAGCACTGAGAACATTTCCTTAAGCGCTCTGTCCTCAGCTTCAGCACCCAGTGAAGAGTTCCAAATCCGATGAGGCCACAGCAGTTTTCATGTGAGGAGAGATCACTATGAGTACCTTCACTGGCAGATGTTTATTTTTGAGACCTACGTTCTCTTTGAGACCTAAGTTCTTCAACTTAAAACATATACCGTGTGGTGCTGGTAGTTATGTCTATCCACAACCTTCTGTCTCGTACTTTCAATCAACTCTGACACAGATGATCCTCCATGCTATGTCAAACTGTCAGGCATCTTTTCTCTAAGTCTCTTTCTGCCTCTCTTCCCCTCTCACTTTTCTACTGTCACCATGTACTCCAGCTTTGTGAGAGTATCTTCCAAGACATCTTCATTACACTTTTGATCTGTCCAGGCTATTCTCACCATTCATCTATAAAACCACATCTCTACAGCTTCCAGATAATATTTTGCTAATCTACCAACTGTCCAGACATAAGTAAACAAAACAATCAACTCCATGTAATTACTTACTCACTGAGATGAGGAAATGCTGTTTTCAGGAGCGAGAGTAAGAATTCCTGCACAAAGACAATATTCTGTGCTGTGGCCATGTTGGGACTCAAGGCAACTGTGATCCTCCCATGCTCCAGAAGATTAAATATGTAGGCTAGAATTGTGGCTTGCATTGTCAGACCTGAAACAAAACAAGGCTCAGATATCTTCTGCAGAAAATGCTCAATGGATTGATAGAGCAACTCAGATGGTTGAAACAGTTGAAATCAAGAACACAAGAGAGAGATCTTCGTCTTCTTCTGCCTTCTAGCCCCCAAACAACTCACATCCAATCGTTCTATCCTTTGCTATCACATGCAGCTCTCCTCATGTCCTACCCATCTTTTTAACTTCTCTCTAGTTCCCTTCTCTTTGTATTTTTGGTCTGCCTTTATTTATATAAGTGTGTGGGTTCCAGTGTAGAGACATTCCAGTTAAACTTGTTCATTACGTGTGTTCTATCCAACTATGGAGAGATATTGTGTGGGAACACCTATGCCACATGATACAGCATACCTGATGATTATTAAATAATGATAGCTATAACAATTCTCCAAAGCCAAAAATTAAAATTTCTAACATGCACGTCATCTTTAAACCCAGAATTATCAATAAATGACATACATGACAGAGAAATATCTTCAATCCAATACATAAATGACATACTTGACAGATAAATATCAACCCTGCACATAAATGACATACTCAACAGATAAATATCAACCCTGCACATAAATTACATGTTCGACAAATAAATATCAACCCTGCACATAAATTACATGTTCGACAGATAAATATCAACCCTGCACATAAATTACATACTCGACAGATAAATATCAACCCTGCACATAAATTACATGCTCGACAGATAAAAATCAACCCTGCACATAAATGACATACTGGACAAATAAATATCAACCCTGCACATAAATGACATACTGGACAAATAAATATCAACCCTGCACATAAATGACATACTGGACAAATAAATATCAACCCTGCACATAAATGACATGTTTGATAGATAAATATCTTCTTCTTTGAGTTCATCAGCTGTAAACTCTGGTGGAAAGTTCTGGTTGTTCGCCCACTTCGGGACTGCAGTCCTGTTCCAGAACCTGAGTGTTGCGTGTGCATCCGTTTGACAGATCTGTCACATATAAGTGTAGACTGTTGGCTCCTTGCCTCTCAGGCAGATGCACTCCGACTTCGAAGGAAAGTAGATAAATATTAATATCAACCCTGCACATAAATGACATGTTCGATAGATAAACATTAATATCAACCCTGCACATAAATGACATTTTTGATAAATATCAATATCAACCCAGCACATAAATGACATGTTCGATAAATCTCAATATCAACCCTGCACATAAATGACATGTTCGACAAATAAATATCAACCCTGCACATAACCTGTACGTAAAACTGATGTTATGTGCAACAGCTATATGTGGGGAAAAAAACATTACGTGTGAAATTTGTATGACAAACTGACCTGCTGTGTGAGAGCTGTCTGTGATGACAGAAAACAAATGCTGCAAGATGTCCGTCAGATAGGTCTGGTAGAAACTCTGGGCAGTGGCCTCCTCCCTGGACATGTTCTGTAGCAGCACGTAGAGGATCTCCAGGCCAGTGTCTGCCACGTTGCGCATCGTGTGCTTGAACGCCCAGATAATGGAGTCCAGCACCAGTTTGAACTGGGCAGGGGGTATGTTCAGCAACGCTGTAGTCATGACAACACAATATATGAGCAAACGTGTGCAGCCAGAGGTTATTTGTAAATCTCAGCACACAATTTATTTATCAGCAATGTATTTAAACTCTCTATATCTGTCCATGTATCTTCTTCTTCATATTCACTGGACGGGCCTGCGTGCCCAATTATTAACCCTTTGAAAATAAAGTTTGTTTGTTCGTTCGTTCGTTCATAGAAAATTATGGTTGTCCAAACAACTCTGGACTTAAGTCTTGTTCCAGATCCTGAGTGTTACAAGCACATCCATTTTACAGATCTAGTTTACATGTATGCAGACTGTTGGTTCCTTGCCTTTTAGGAAGAAGCACTCCAACTTCAAAGGATGCCCGCTCCCACTTAGTCGACTCTTACAACATGCTAACTGGGTTGTTGGTGGGTCTATTCTTGTTTGCCCAACAACAAACACGGGGATTTCCATGCATAAGTCAAGATTTAGTCCAAAATGTTAAAGTTTAAAATCTGGGCTGGCCTAGCAAAGCCCTGATGGAGGGTGTAGTTTCTGGAAATGAGTCAGAGACAGATCTCCGCAAAGGCTGATACAAGACACTGAAGATGCATCAGCTATGAAAGCACATAGGGCTGGACAACTGTCTAGAAGAGACTTTTAGACGTGCCATGACAACAGCGATGTTCTGTAAAGAACCTACTGACTGACTGCAATGATGAAGAAATTGTATGTAGCTCACAGCTTTGAACACAGTGCCATAATTCTGACATACCAGAGTCTGAATTCAGCTTCCGGTGATTAGTAACAGACCGCTTTGCATTAACAGCATGGGTCAAAGCATTCAGAAATGTACAATTTGCTACTAAAGTCACAAATGCTGGGGATTTGGTTGCCAATGTTCTGTAAAAAAAATATAAGAATAACTGCACAATGATCACTGATATACCTATCACTAATAGATTGATCACCAATATCTAACCTTGGAAGCTGTGCTGTGTGACCGCCTGAAGCAGCAAGAAAAAATTGGTCCTGTGTTCGGGAAATTCTTCAAAGTCCTGCCAGAAAAATTGTGTTGTTTACATGTAGGATTATTTTTACCATGTCATAATATCACAAAGATATTTACTGCATCATACTTGCACTTAATGACACAAATATAAAATAATGTATACATGCAATTAATTACACAAATATGACATTCAATATGTAATAAATGGAATTGATGACAGTTAACATCTCTGATGTGACAAGAACTGTAATGCCTGTTATAAAACTATCCAAACATGTATTCAAAGACAGAAATGATTTCACACATTACAACATTATGATTCAATTATTTTTTTTAATGTGAAACAGAATTGAATGGTAAAATTATATGTCACACATATATTTATTTAGTTTTAAGTTACCACAACAAAGTTCATTTTAAAGAAAATCAAAAGTTTAGAGCCAGGACTTACTTTATTGATCATAGTTAACGTACACTCAAACACAGCATCGAAAATCTGGGGGATATCTTTGGTGATGTGGGACTGAAAATAAAGCAAGATATTTCACTGATAAATAAGAAACATAGAAGACAGATCTTTGCTCTTTCTCTAAACGATGGAAACAATAATTTCAACTGAGAATAAACATTTTAAAAACCAAGTTACTATGGAGAATCAACATTGCCTCACTCAGGACAAGCCCATAAATGTTCATCTCGACCACACACAGATGTGGATACCAATCTGGCGCCACTGGGACCAGGTAAATAAGGAATAAGGACGGTGAAAACTTTGTGGGGAAGTCAAAATTGGTTCAGTCTAATTGCCTGTCCAGTTAACAGAAGCCACCCACAAAAGTTAGTTGCACATTCTTTCAAAGATGTTGCAATTCAACACCACCATATGTAGACTGACTGTGGTTTTACTATTCAATTGTCACATTTGTTAGCTTCCCACTGTCTGTAGTTTGCACAGAAACAATCAGGAGGTACGTGCCACGACAACAAAATCAGTGATTAAATAATCATGTAACTGGTAATAAACTTTATATACGGGCAATTCATTGTGGTAGCATTTCTGCTTGTTGTTCCATCGGCCATGTATTCAGAATGTTTCATCTAACACTATCATCACAACACTTGGAATCCATGCACAAGAGAAGATGAAGGCTAACAAAGTTACTAACCTTGAGACTATTTACAATAGTTGCCATGGTACTTAATACTTCGGGCTCTCTGGCTGCGGGCACATTTCTCTGGTAGTCCAGCAACACTGCCTCCAGCAGTGGCATGATAAAATTGTCTGCAACCTGCAACAAATGAAGCATATTAACTCTTTCAGCTTCAAACAATATGTGATGTATGACTAGCACTTCTGTGAATCACATCCTGTGTATAATATGTTCTAGTGCTTTTCAGTTGTAAAACCTTCTGATACTCAAGGAGTTAACAAGCAGAAGAGAAATGGTTATTGTTATGACATTGTTCAGCTAACCTAAAATGTAGCCTTATTAACCAAATCTGCTATAGCTTTGTCTAGGGATCACATATTTGATGAAAACACTGTCGAAGATATTCTCAATATTAAGTGCTAAATTCAACATAAAATGCAGCTAGAAAGCTCAACGCGGGTAATGGATGAATGGAAAATATGCAAACAAACCTTGGCATTTCAACCAAAGTTTTTATTAATGGAGTACTAAATACAACACAGTCAAAAATTTGAACATAAATATTTTGAAAATATTCAGTGTATAAGATGTTTTCCAATTTTATCTCTGAAAAATCTGTGATAATATATTTTCTTCTACATGGAAAAATATGGTACTTCTAAAAGTTCTATACCAAGGAGTGGTATTTCTTAATCATCAAGAGCATGATATGACATACCATCTGAGGATCTGTAGAACGATTCACCCATCCAGAAATGAGCTTTAGCGTCTCCTTCTTCACAGTTCTCATGGATCTGATCAGAGGTTGTTTGGTGACGCTTTCTCCGTTGGTGGCGATGGCACTGCTGATGTTCTCACTCATCACCTGCATTCACACAATGTCCACTGTTGTTATAACACATTGAAGGAAATACTTTATGTCATGAGAAGAATAAAACTAGAGTGCATCGTGATGGTGGGAAAGTCAGAGGGGAAAAGAGGCAGGGGGAGACCAAGAGAGATGTTGCTGGACAGTTTGACACCATGGCAGAGAAAATCATGTTTCAGAACTGACTAAAGGTTCTTCTTTTTTTGTTTGTTTGCCCCAGTGACGTTTACAGCAGAGCTTCAATATTAAAGCCTTTCGGCAGACACATTCGACTTCAAGAATTTGTGGACCGGGTTAACTTCCCGCATAGTTTCATGGCACAGGGACAAGTTGTGACCTTATTTATGTGGTGTTGTCTTTGTCCCCTTATCTACAGGTGTTGCCCCTAAAAACCCCATAGGGCATCCATGTGTAGACAGTTCGACCCTCAAGGGAAGGCAGCGGCAGATCATAGGCATTCTCCGCCCTTCAAGGAGGCTTCCATGAATGCAGAGCCAACACATGATGGGCCAGTTCTGGGCTCACCCAAGGATTCATTGTGTCCTGCACATGACTGCTTAACCTCACATCTTTGTTGGGCTTTCCAATCATCACGGGCTGCACCCTTCGGAGATCAGCGACTGAAGGTACACGAGACAGAAGGGTGTGGACAGATATGCCTACAAACGCCATTCAGCAAGTATTATAGGAAGGAGGAAATACTTAACCTTATTAGAGCTTAATGGTTCCACCAGAGGCAGGATTTTTCAACTATGAACAACATTATATACTTATATATTGTGAATCCCATTGTCTGCCTATATTTTGTGAAACCCATTGTCTGCATATATTTTGTGAACCCCACTGTATGCATATATTTTGTGAACCTCATTGTCTGCCTATATTTTGTGAACCCCGATTGTCTGTAATTTGTGAACCCCGTTATCTCTCCATTTTTGTGAACCCCATTGACTGTATTTTGTGAATCCCATTGTCTGCTTATATTATGTGAACCCCACTGTCTGCCTGTATTTTGTGAACCCCACGATCTGCCCATATGTTGTGAACCCCTAAAGTCTGCCTATATTTTGTTGACATGTTATTTGCCTATATTTTGCATACCACATTGCCTATATTATGCATACCACATTGTCTGCCTATAATATGCATACCACATTGTCTGCCTATATTATGCATACCACATTGTCTGCCTATAGTATGCATACCACATTGTCTGCCTATAGTATGCATACCACATTGTCTGCCTATATTATGCATACCACATTGTCTGCCTATATTATGCATACCACATTGTCTGCCTATATTATGCATACCACATTGTCTGCCTATATTATGCATACCACATTGTCTGCCTATATTATGTGAACTACATTGTCTGCCTATATTATGTGAACCCCATTATATGCCTACATTTTATGATCCTCAATGTCTTAAATATTGTGAACTCAATCATCACCATCCTGTGGTGAGATGCAGTGTAACTAAGGGGGACGCACTGGCGCAGTCGATAGGAGACTCGCATTCAAATCCAGCTGTGACTCGCTGCAGCTCACAGCCGGTGTTCAAAACCGGGCGGTTCCCAGGGTTCACCCTGCCTCTAGGTAATGGGTACCAGAGTTAACACTCTGGGGTAAATGGAGGAACGTCACTGTAGCTACGGAGTTGCGTGTGGACGGCGACATTAGCAGACAGTTTCTTATCAGCTATCTGTACTGGTGGCAGCACTTATGGTTTATAACCGTGTACAATGAGGCTGGTTCACATCTCCCACCTTCACCTTTTTTTTCAGTGTAACTAGAGATGATGTGATCAGTGTAATTCAGTAGAAAGGATTAGTTAGTGTGCTTCATTATATGTTACTCTGTAGTAATCTCCCTCACGGAACAGAGGGGAAAATGTCCAGCAATAAATTGTGCAATGTAGTGTGCTTGTGCCCTCATTACTGAAATGTATAATGTCCGCATTATTTAAATTTCTAATGAGAAAACTGTTTTAAATTTTATTTATGTATATAAAATCTACGGGATGTCTTACCTTGTAGACATTGAGCATATCAAGATAAATACGGCCCAGCTGGACAACATACGGGTGTCCCAAGGCTTTACAAGCCCTAACGTTGGTCTTGAGTATATTTGCCAGCTGCTTGACAGCTTCTGGATCTTTGAGTACCTGGACATTGTGTGTGGCCTGGTTGATGATTCCATCCCAGACCTGATAATACAGACAAATTTAAAGTGATTATTTTGTCCTATATACAGACAAATGTAAAGTGACTTATTATTTGCCACGCATGAGAGAATGCAACTCAGAATACAATCTGTAAAATGATAGATTATTGTGTCTTATATATGAGGATACAGACAAATGTAAAGTGATAGATTACATTGTCTTATATCTGAGGATACAGACAAATGTAAAGTGACAGATTATTCCAACCCCCACCTGAGAATATACACAAATGTGTAAAGTGAACGATAATTCTGTCTCTTCTTCTTTTAACAATCATCAGCTTTAAACTGCAGTGGAAAGGTCTGGTTGTTCATCCACTTCTGAACTTTGGTCTTGTTCCAAAACCTGAGTTTTGCATTCACATCCATTAACAGATCTGGCTGTTTGAAGGCACTTGGTTCCTCGACTCTCATGCAGATGCAGCTAAGCTCTGACTTTAATGTGAAAAACCCGAATTAATCGAATTTTACAATAGGTTCTCCCCCACCCCCCCAACTCATGTGTGTGAGAATAAAGACAAGTGTGTTATGAGAATATTACTGGTCTGGTGTATGATCTTTCAGCACTGTGGGTGTTTTTCTGTATGTTTTGTTTACATAAACATCCTAATCTGCAGTAAATGGCAGCAGCACTAGCCATGCGACCCTAAATCCTCATGCTTACAGACCCTCCCTCCCCTCCCCCAAGTGATAAATACGGACAGAGGTGACAGTTGAGCCTGGAACTAAAGATTCCATAGTTTCAGAGACAGACACAAGGCTTACCTGATTAGGCAACAGCATATACCGCTCAATGAGATGTTCCTGGGCAAGCTGGTCCACCTGTGCCCCAATCATCAAACCCACTGCTTCATAGAATGTGTGCACCTGTACAGGTAAACACAATTCAATTCAATGAAAACAACTAACAGACTGGCTCAAACAGGATGGCAATCAACAGAAACATCTTGAAGCAGGGAAGAGGAAAGGAAGCAGCTGCAAGAGAAGGAAGAACAGAAGCAGCAGCTGCAAGAGAAGGAGGAAAAGAAGGAACAGCTGAAGCTGAAAATGATGAAGACGAAGGGTGACAACTACTTGTTTTGTAAAGCTCCTCCTTTATTTTCTTCCTTTCTTTATCAGCATAAGTGTTACTTAATATACTTATTATGTAACTTGAACTTAGTACAATTTGAACTTGGAATAATTATTTGCTTTACCCAAGTAATAGCCAATAATCTGGCAGATCCAGTAACTTGAGTGTAACCCTGTTGCCCTGAGAAGCTGCAAATCTGACCTCCCCCCCCCCCCCCCCCCCCCCCCCACCAATTTCACTTTTCTGACCTGTCTACAGTGACCTGTATACGAGATGCTATTAGCTGTGTTCACACCTGCGCAACAGTTTATGAAATCAGGATGTGAATATATTAACTAAAAATAGCATTTAGGGGAGTTTTCCTTCAAACCAAATATTTTTTTTTAAAGCTGGAGTTAATGTCAAATTTTCCCACAAGCCTCAGTGATACAGGTCACAGGATCACGATACTGGTCACTCAATACATATATTTTATTGGCCCCTACTACCTTCTAGCGTAGGCAGTACTAAAATATGCAGCATCTGTTATATAACTACCTTCTAGCGTAGGCAGTACTAAAATATGCAGCTTCTGTTATAAAACTACCTTCTAGCGTAGGCAGTACTAAAATAAGCCGCATCTGTTATATAACTACCTTCTAGCGTAGGCAGTACTAAAATATGCAGCTTCTGTTATAAAACTACCTTCTAGCGTAGGCAGTACTAAAATAAGCCGCATCTGTTATATAACTACCTTCTAGCGTAGGCAGTACTAAAATATGCAGCATCTGTTATATAACTACCTTCTAGCGTAGGCAGTACTAAAATAAGCCGCATCTGTTATATAACTACCTTCTAGCGTAGGCAGTACTAAAATATGCAGCATCTGTTATATAACTACCTTCTAGCGTAGGCAGTACTAAAATATGCAGCATCTGTTATATAACTACCTTCTAGCGTAGGCAGTACTGAAATAAGCAGCATCTGTTATATAACTACCTTCTAGCGTAGGCAGTACTAAAATAAGCAGCATCTGTTATATAACTACCTTCTAGCGTAGGCAGTACTAAAATAAGCCGCATCTGTTATATAACTACCTTCTAGCGTAGGCAGTACTAAAATAAGCAGCATCTGTTATATAACTACCTTCTAGCGTAGGCAGTACTAAAATATGCAGCATCTGTTATATAACTACCTTATAGCGTAGGCAGTACTAAAATAAGCAGCATCTGTTATATAACTACCTTCTAGCGTAGGCAGTACTAAAATATGCAGCATCTGTTATATAACTACCTTCTAGCGTAGGCAGTACTAAAATATGCAGCATCTGTTATATAACTACCTTCTAGCGTAGGCAGTACTAAAATAAGCCGCATCTGTTATATAACTACCTTCTAGCGTAGGCAGTACTAAAATATGCAGCATCTGTTATATAACTACCTTCTAGCGTAGGCAGTACTAAAATATGCAGCATCTGTTATATAACTACCTTCTAGCGTAGGCAGTACTAAAATAAGCGGCATCTGTTATATAACTACCTTCTAGCGTAGGCAGTACTAAAATAAGCGGCATCTGTTATATAACTACCTTCTAGCGTAGGCAGTACTAAAATAAGCGGCATCTGTTATATAACTACCTTCTAGCGTAGGCAGTACTAAAATAAGTGGCATCTGTTATATAACTACCTTCTAGCGTAGGCAGTACAAAAATAAGCAGCATCTGTTATATAACTACCTTCTAGCGTAGGCAGTACTAAAATAAGCAGCATCTGTTATATAACTACCTTCTAGCGTAGGCAGTACTAAAATAAGCAGCATCTGTTATATAACTACCTTCTAGCGTAGGCAGTACTAAAATAAGCAGCATCTGTTATAACTACCTTCTAGCGTAGGCAGTACTAAAATATGCAGCATCTGTTATATAACTACCTTCTAGCGTAGGCAGTACTAAAATAAGTGGCATCTGTTATATAACTACCTTCTAGCGTAGGCAGTACTAAAATAAGCAGCATCTGTTATATAACTACCTTCTAGCGTAGGCAGTACTAAAATAAGCCGCATCTGTTATATAACTACCTTCTAGCGTAGGCAGTACTAAAATAAGCAGCATCTGTTATATAACTACCTTCTAGCGTAGGCAGTACTAAAATAAGCCGCATCTGTTATATAACTACCTTCTAGCGTAGGCAGTACTAAAATAAGTGGCATCTGTTATATAACTACCTTCTAGCGTAGGCAGTACTAAAATAAGCAGCATCTGTTATATAACTACCTTCTAGCGTAGGCAGTACTAAAATAAGCAGCATCTCTTATAAAAGTACCTTCCAGTGTTTGCTAACAATATCAGCAGTGTTAAAATAAGCAGCATCTGTTATAAAACTAACTTCCAGTGTTTGCTAACAACATCAGCAGTATTAAAATAAGCAGCAGAAAACAGAGAAAACTGCTGACACACAAATACAGTCTCAGAACCTACTAGGATTGAATAAACAGAAACATCACAATCCATTCTCACGAGTCTCCATGAAAGTGATCCATACCGAGGTCAGAGATCACATATAATTGTGTTGATTTTTTACAGAAAACATACCTGTTGAGGCTGGAGGTCACAGATGATAGTGTTGATTCCGTTGAGGATTTCTTCAATGAAGGGCATCACCTCTCCCACTTGAACCTGCACAAAATGCCGTCGGCACTTCTGGGCTATCTTGATGAAAGTATCACAAGCCATGTCTTGTACACCGTCATGAGTTTCTGGTTGAGAAGCCATGAGATTGATAAATATTTGTGACTGTGAGATAGATATTTATGTACATAAAGTGAAACAAAGTAAAATGAGAGAATGAAGAAAGAAATGATTGCAGAAAGAATGGCAGCTGAGCTTCTGGGATGAACCGCACTAAATACACATGATGGCAAGTTGATCTTGCTAGTCACACTCGCCATCGCCATGGGTTGTGAGGTCCCATGCCTCCTCACAGCACTATATAACACTATTCTCTGGAAAGATGGAAAAGTACCAACAACAAGGTAAAACTTTAGTAAACATATTGTTCGAGTAAGATTAACATAAATTCTCAAAAGAAAAAAATCTTTGAGACAGATTCAATTACCAATTCATGGTCTTTATCCATGGCTAAAATATTATTGCCAGTATTGGGTTTCTGTAATAGTTCTTCCCCTTCTTCTTTATTTATGTAGGTCATAACAACTTTATGGTTTCAACAGCTCTATAGTAGAATGTCATGGGTCATGATATGTTTGGATGGTATGCTTGGTGATATATTTACTACTAGATTATATCATCAATTATATTTTTGGATGTTATGTTTACTAGTGTCAACACCAACAACTTAGCACGCAGGATGTAGCCCATTGCTGTGCTCTCTCTCTCTCTCTTCCTCAATCAGAATATGGATATTTATTAGCCCGATGACGACCTGGTTGCAAACATATCTTTCTGTCACTATCATGTCCGTTTCTGCTAGTGCCAAAGTGATCCTTTATTCCACTAGCCACAGCCTCATGCTGTCACTGATTTATGTTTCCTCATGCAACAGGCAAAAGTTAATAGATGGTACCGAGTCTCTAGTTCAACCTCAGTGTTCTTTCAAGAGCTGCCCAGGATGCCAGCCAATCAGGACTGTCTTTACCTCGTATTCTTTAGCTTGTATACCAGAAATAAAGTCAACAACATAGACAGCTATGTCAGCTCCTCCTGTAACTGACTTGATTGTACTGGGTTTGATCCCATATGTCTTGGTCTTTCTCTGCAGAACAGCTAGCCACCTGCTTGAGAGTGTCACACAAGCATGAATCCTGTAGCTCTGGTGGGGATCCCCTAAGATTTCCGTAAATTTGCACTCATGACCCGAACGACGTAGTCATGAAGCATTCTGCAGAGTGAGAAGCCAACGGCTTGATCATTCTGCCAGGGTTTTGGGAGAATAATCTCTAAACTAGCTTCACTCCTCTCTAGAAAACTTGCAAGCAACAAAAACAGTGCTTTTCTGCAACATGCATAAATGGTGCCAGTCCTAGATTTTTCTAGACTAATCGGCAGTTGGAGGGTGACCTGTTGACAGTCATCCCGGCCACTTGTACTTTCTATGACAATTATTAGCAGCTTTTTGTGTGTGTTAAAGTTGGGCTGGCCTGAGAGTCCAGGATTTCTTTTAAAATCCACTTGGATATGGGTTTGAATGTGTGTTAGTGCGCTGAAAATAAATAATACAAAATATACAGAAACAATAACTAAATCAGTCCTTTGCTTGACTTATAGAGAAACAACAAAAACACACATGACAGTACTGACCATGCATAAACTCATGACTTATAGAGAAACAACAAAAACACACATGACAGTACTGACCATGCATAAACTCATGACTTATAGAGAAACAACAAAAACACACATGACAGTACTGACCATGCATGAACTCATGACTTATAGAGAAACAACAAAAACACACATGACAGTACTGACCATGCATAAACTCATGACTTATAGAGAAACAACAAAAACACACATGACAGTACTGACCATGCATGAACTCATGACTTATAGAGAAACAACAAAAACACACATGACAGTACTGACCATGCATAAACTCATGACTTATAGAGAAACAACAAAAACACACATGACAGTACTGACCATGCATGAACTCATGACTTATAGAGAAACAACAAAAACACACATGACAGTACTGACCATGCATGAACTCATGACTTATAGAGAAACAACAAAAACACACATGACAGTACTGACCATGCATGAACTCATGACTTATAGAGAAACAACAAAAACACACATGACAGTACTGACCATGCATGAACTCATGACTTATAGAGAAACAACAAAAACACACATGACAGTACTGACCATGCATGAACTCATGACTTATAGAGAAACAACAAAAACACACATGACAGTACTGACCATGCATAAACTCATGACTTATAGAGAAACAACAAAAACACACATGACAGTACTGACCATGCATAAACTCATGACTTATAGAGAAACAACAAAAACACACATGACAGTACTGACCATGCATGAACTCATGACTTATAGAGAAACAACAAAAACACACATGACAGTACTGACCATGCATGAACTCATGACTTATAGAGAAACAACAAAAACACACATGACAGTACTGACCATGCATGAACTCATGACTTATAGAGAAACAACAAAAACACACATGACAGTACTGACCATGCATGAACTCATGACTTATAGAGAAACAACAAAAACACACATGACAGTACTGACCATGCATAAACTCATGACTTATAGAGAAACAACAAAAACACACATGACAGTACTGACCATGCATGAACTCATGACTTATAGAGAAACAACAAAAACACACATGACAGTACTGACCATGCATGAACTCATGACTTATAGAGAAACAACAAAAACACACATGACAGTACTGACCATGCATAAACTCATGACTTATAGAGAAACAACAAAAACACACATGACAGTACTGACCATGCATAAACTCATGACTTATAGAGAAACAACAAAAACACACATGACAGTACTGACCATGCATAAACTCATGACTTATAGAGAAACAACAAAAACACACATGACAGTACTGACCATGCATAAACTCATGACTTATAGAGAAACAACAAAAACACACATGACAGTACTGACCATGCATAAACTCATGACTTATAGAGAAACAACAAAAACACACATGACAGTACTGACCATGCATAAACTCATGACTTATAGAGAAACAACAAAAACACACATGACAGTACTGACCATGCATGAACTCATGACTTATAGAGAAACAACAAAAACACACATGACAGTACTGACCATGCATGAACTCATGACTTATAGAGAAACAACAAAAACACACATGACAGTACTGACCATGCATAAACTCATGACTTATAGAGAAACAACAAAAACACACATGACAGTACTGACCATGCATAAACTCATGACTTATAGAGAAACAACAAAAACACACATGACAGTACTGACCATGCATAAACTCATGACTTATAGAGAAACAACAAAAACACACATGACAGTACTGACCATGCATAAACTCATGACAGTACTGACCATGCATAAACTCATGACTTATAGAGAAACAACAAAAACACACATGACAGTACTGACCATGCATAAACTCATGACAGTACTGACCATGCATAAACTCATGACTTATAGAGAAACAACAAAAACACACATGACAGTACTGACCATGCATAAAATCATGACTTATAGAGAAACAACAAAAACACACATGACAGTACTGACCATGCATGAACTCATGACTTATAGAGAAACAACAAAAACACACATGACAGTACTGACCATGCATGAACTCATGACTTATAGAGAAACAACAAAAACACACATGACAGTACTGACCATGCATGAACTCATGACTTATAGAGAAACAACAAAAAACACACATGACAGTACTGACCATGCATGAACTCATGACTTATAGAGAAACAACAAAAACACACATGACAGTACTGACCATGCATGAACTCATGACTTATAGAGAAACAACAAAAACACACATGACAGTACTGACCATGCATAAACTCATGACTTATAGAGAAACAACAAAAACACACATGACAGTACTGACCATGCATGAACTCATGACTTATAGAGAAACAACAAAAACACACATGACAGTACTGACCATGCATGAACTCATGACTTATAGAGAAACAACAAAAACACACATGACAGTACTGACCATGCATGAACTCATGACTTATAGAGAAACAACAAAAACACACATGACAGTACTGACCATGCATAAACTCATGACTTATAGAGAAACAACAAAAACACACATGACAGTACTGACCATGCATAAACTCAAATAGTTTGTTGACTACAGTCTTCAGAAATCTCCAGTGAGCTCTCAGGAAGCGTGGGTACTGCCCAACCACGTACATGATGTTTGAGGCGATGATAGCTTTGTTGTCCTTGCCTCGTTTCTGCTCACACAAGCCCAGCAAATCCTGGAGACGTTATTGTTGTTAAATGTTAATGATAAACATCGTCCAAAATATGATTATTGCTGATAAATTCTACTGGACCAATGCGCCATTGCTGATAGTCATGAGCAGCTCACAGAAACCAGCTTTGGGCGTCAGAAATGAGATCTGAGAAAGGTGGTCCAACTAACAAGAAAGGATAGAGTTTGCAATCAGACAATATGTCATGACCTTGAGTGGGTCGGATCAGTCACTGGTACGATGGTTTGGACATGTATGCAGAATGGGAGAGAAACATCCAACATAGCAGGCACAGGAAGCCAAGAACAAGTGAACCAGACCACCAGGACCAACAAGGGTTCCCTGGGAAGACAACATCCGACAGTCCCTGACTCGCAGAGGACTCGAATCGAACAAAGCTAACAAGAAAACTGGTCACACAGAAGTCTGGCGATCTCTGTGGCAAACCTAAACCCCAAGGTAGAAGAGATGCCACCAAGTAAGTAAATACTACTAGTATATAAATCATCTACATGTATAATTATTGTTGATATATGCCTATGGTAAACATAACATCCAATAATATAATTAATGTTGATAGATTCTAGTAGTAAATATATCCTCCAAATGTATCCTCCAAACATACCACCCAAACATACCACGCAAGCATACCATCTAAACATATCATGCCCCCATGACATTCTACTATAGAGATGTTGAAACCAGAAAGTTGTTATGACCTACATAAATAAAGAAGAAGAAGGGGGGAAATTATTAACGAAACCCAATAATGGCAAAAATATTTTAGCCATAGATAAAAAGACTGAGGGCAAAAGTTACCCTTTAACATAATATAACATAACTCTTGACCTATTAGGGTTGTGGAGATATACTGATGGAAGCACTAGGATATAAAACTCACCAACTTTATCTGTCTTCTGCTTGACGAATAAGTGAATGATAACTTAGCCCTGTCTATTTCTTTATGTTGTCATTCCAGGTTCTTCTTTGCCCTCCTTTTCTTCGACTAGCCCCCAATGTTCCTTGAAGTACAGTCTCACCAGGTGCCCAAACCAAGCTAGCCTGCGAGGTTTTACCACTGCCAAGAGACGCTCCTGATGTCCCGCAAATTTGTATATTTTGTCTCTGACATATTTAACCTTAAAAAATAGTTCAATATCTTACATAAGTTGAGCTGAGTTGACTCAAGAACAGAAATCACAGAGCTTCATCCTCATCTTCAGCGGCCAGCGCAAAATTACAATTCCGATGGTGTCGGTAATATTATACTACATAGTATCATGGCTTTTTTCTAGAAAATAAAGATCACAATACTTCCCACAAAGTGTTTAAAAAGGTGCCGGTACTCACCATGAAGTACCTATTACAATAGAGCTGAAAAATTATGCAAAACAAAATGTACGGGTACTGCTTACCATAGTGTAACACTAGAAACAAGCCCTCTAGATTGTATTACACAAATAACACATAGAAGGAACCAAGTAATAACCTGAAGTGTAAAATGTATGATGGGACACACACAAACAAAACAATTATATTCAAATACTTTGTCCATATAAAGCTAACAGAAATACTTGAAACATACAAAATGAAGACATTTCAAAATTCCACCTCTAGGAGGATCTAACCACATGATCACAGTACCAACAGGCAAGCCACCTTGCTCCTGCGGCTCCCTGTCAGCGTGGTGGTAGACTAACAATCAATGTAGCCACACAAGCAGAATTTCAATATTCATGAACAATAATCAACAAAGACAAGAGAGACTGTTACCTTGATAACTGTGACTAGAAATCGTTTCTCATCGTCCTCATGCATGGCTCCACTGATAGATCCAATCGCCCAACAAATCTGCAAACAAGTAACGATACAGAAACTCACGACAAGTAGACAGAAAGAATTTATGAGTGACGAAGACTGGACGTATATCATAGGCCTTTACCACAGATCTGTCACAATAAAGGTGTCCAGGGACAGTGTCCTCACCCTGCGTCTGCTAATGCAATATTTCATTCAAATAATTTTACTGTGAATTCTCAATTGTGCAGTCTCATCTAGATGGTTTATCTTTTTTGTTTTTCTAATCCATATTTGGAAGCTGGTGTAGGAGTGTAGACAACCTAAGACTGAAGTCTTGGCGGCTGATGTAGGAGTGTAGGCAACCTAAGACTGAAGTCTTGGCGGCTGATGTAGGAATGTAGGCAACCTAAGACTGAAGTCTTGGCGGCTGGTGTAGGAGTGTAGGCAACCTAAGACTGAAGTCTTGGCGGCTGGTGTAGGAGTGTAGGCAACCTAAGACTGAAGTCTTGGCGGCTGGTGTAGGAGTGTAGACAACATAAGACTGAAGTCTTGGCAGCTGATGTAGGAGTGTAGACAACATAAGACTGAAGTCTTGGCGGCTGATGTAGGAGTGTAGACAACATAAGACTGAAGTCTTGGCGGCTGGTGTAGGAGTGTAGGCAACATAAGACTGAAGTCTTGGCGGCTGATGTAGGAGTGTAGGCAACATAAGACTGAAGTCTTGGCAGCTGGTGTAGGAGTGTAGACAACATAAGACTGAAGTCTTGGCAGCTGGTGTAGGAGTGTAGACAACATAAGACTGAAGTCTTGGCAGCTGGTGTAGGAGTGTAGACAACATAAGACTGAAGTCTTGGCAGCTGGTGTAGGAGTGTAGACAACATAAGACTGAAGTCTTGGCAGCTGGTGTAGGAGTGTAGACAACATAAGACTGAAGTCTTGGCGGCTGGTGTAGGAGTGTAGGCAACATAAGACTGAAGTTTGGCAGCTGGTGTAGGAGTGTAGGCAACATAAGACTGAAGTCTTGGCGGCTGGTGTAGGAGTGTAGACAACCTAAGACTGAAGTCTTGGCGGCTGATGTAGGAGTGTAGACAACCTAAGACTGAAGTCTTGGCAGCTGATGTAGGAGTGTAGGCAACATAAGACTGAAGTCTTGGCAGCTGATGTAGGAGTGTAGGCAACCTAAGATTGAAGTCTAAGGTATGATCTACTGCCTTGGTTGCACTTTGCCTGTCTGTTTAGTGTATCTTTGAATTGATGTTGTCTGTCCATTGTATTCTTGGTTTTCTTCAGGATCTACCTCCTTACAGTCCATGATACTCAAGTATGTTTACCCAGGGGCCACAATGTTGAACTTGAAGACAGCCATGAGCCAGAGGCCAGTGCCCCAGCATAGAATGATTATTAATACAGTACAAATGGCAATGATCCATAGGCCACTTGCTAGGTTTGCACTTGCCAGATTGAACCCCCAGGCTGCCAGTGGAATAGCCTTACTATAAGGTGTTGATCATCATTTCTGTCAATAGTTTTAACAGTGCATGTAAAAGGTAGAGTAAAGTACCCTTTTCCACGCATATTGAGACTGTTACCTCTTCTACGAGACATCATTTGCTTGATTCTGCGCACGTAAATCTTCCTCTTCTTCCTTGTTCACCAGTTGCAAGCTCCTGCGGAAAGTTCTGGTTATTCATCCATTTTGATTCTGGCTTTGTGCCAGGGCCTGAGTTTTGCAAGTATATCCGTTTTACCGGCTTTTTTGTGTGCATCTGGCTGTTCCCTGCAGCTTGAGCAGACGCCTTCCGACTTAGAAGGAAGGCCCCAATTAGTCGACTTCTACAACTTGTTGGTCTATTCTTGTTTTCCTCACAATGGGGTCCCAGAGCCAACACAGGGAGGTCATCAGAATCATTTACCACATTAAATAGGCATTTACTTAAACTAGCAGAAGCTGTAACAATAAAGATAAACTTTCCTACTTTGTGTAAATAAAAAGAACATGTGGTAAATTTGAAAGTGCCATGGTAACCACATGGTTAACGTATAGGGTAACTAGACACTGATTTCTCTATTTCAGTGAAAAGGATTCATTGTTTATGCTTCAGTAATTGTTGATGTACCTCTGTAGTAAGGCATCTGATGAGACACAGCGAAATATGTCAGTCAATAAATCTGGCTATGCAATGTTTGTGTCCGCATTATTTAAATATAATGTAGATCATAATAATCAGGAAACAGAAACAAGATGTCCACGAGCAAGTGCACTTATATACCAACTGACACAATTATTAAAACATCCAAACTTAAGTACGAGTGCCAAGAACAGATTTTAAATAGCATTTTCATACCAACACTGTGCTACCAATGCTACACTTGACCATTATCAAAGGCACAAGACATAATTCAAAGACAATTCTATGTAGAATTAACATTTGTGAAATCAGATACCAGAGAAAAGTTGCCAACTTAACCATCTGAGACAAGGTTGGAAATCTTCTTCTTCTTCGTGTTTACCAGCTGTACACTCTGGCAGAAAGTTCTGGTTGCTTGTCCACTACTGAGCTGCAGTCCTGCTCCAGAACCTGAGTGTTGCGTGTGCATCAGTTTTACAGATCTCATTCTCTTGAATACAGACTGTTAGTTCCTTGCCTCAACGGCAGATGCACTCCGACTTCAAAGGAAGCTCCCCAATTATTCGACTCTTACGGCATGCTTTTGTTTTCCCCACAATGGGGCCCCCGGAACCCACACGGGGGACAGGTTGGAAATCGTGTTATCAGACAAACTGCGGGAACAACACCATGCAGCAAATTCATTAGGAAACAGAAGATCACATGGTTTGGCAATCCAGTAAGAATGCAACCAGAACAATTACAAACGTAAGCACTACACATGAAACGATCTGAAGCGAAAGTAAGATATCGCCCGAGGAGAAGATGGACTGATGATGTTAAAGAGCTTCTACATCGACATGGAATGACAACAGTCATTGCTGCAAATCAAGCAATGGATCGCAAACGGTTCCTCCCCACAACACTTAATGGCAGTAGTGGAAGATGATGATTATGATAGATCATAATGAACAGAATGAAGCAAATTCTTACTGTGTTCAAATTTTTCCATGACCACTCGGTGCCGTTGACCTGATTGTGTAGTTTTTCTGTCATGATGTTTTCTGTGTCAGTGTAGTCCAGATGGGTCAGGTAAACTGAAATACACAAGTGAATTTACAGGTGGGTCAGGTAAACTGAAATACACAAGTGAATTTACAGGTGGGTCAGGTAAATTGAAATACACAAGTGAATTTAAAGTAGTAAGTCAAGCGTCTTTCCAGATGATAGTGTTCTGACTGGATTTGAAATAGGTTATTTTTTAAAGCAATAAATGCAGGCCTCATTGGGGGGGGGAGGTAAAGGGGGGGGGGGGGGATGAAGAGACCCACTGCCTCCCAACATGCAGGTCATAAAAAGCAACTATATAGGGTTTGCTGAAATCCTATGTTCGGTCCAAAGGTCACAGATACTGCAGCCTAGCTGTAAACCGTAACACAAGTGCCAACGACCCTTTTCAGAGTGAACGCAGAAGATGAAGAAGAAGCAGTGAGACACTTACCTAGAGTCTCCCTCATGTTCTTGTAAAGGTTAATTGAGTCGGTGTCCTTCATGAACTCTCTGACAACTTCCCCCTGATCGTTCTCTACCACGAGCACCTCCTCGGGCTTCGCCATACGAGAAATCATCACCAAACGGAGCTGGTTGTGATAAACACATGTGTGAAATGAATAAGGTTACAACAAAGATATATATGCATTTTAAATGTTATAGGGGATATGACTTTGCTAACATCTTTAACACAGCCGGTCTTACTGGGACTAAAAAAATAGTAATACTGTATCCAATCAAACATGTCAGAGACAGAGGGCCACTGAGGGGTAGCAAACACTGACTACTGTATTTTGTCGAAAACATGACTTGCAAAACCCCAACAAATCAAATCTGCAGAAATCTTGGTTTGAGTGGATTCTCTAAGTAAACTTCATTATACAATAAAAGGTTAAAGCAGAAAGAATATATAATGTGCCCAATACTGCTCAATGCTATTGTTCAAGAGATTATTCAGCACTTGTCATTTCTAGTGTTGTTAGATTATGTCTTGTTACTAGCAATTTCTTTATATCTCTTTTATATTTCTAAGTTAACAAACCTTGGTTTTTCTACAAAGTCATTTTGGGTTACTGCAAGAACCCTTGGTTTCTGTATTTAAAAAAAAAGTAATTTTTGCCCAACGCAGTTCTTGGGTTTCTATAAAGTAAATCAAGAAAGCTTTAAGAAAGCAAGATTTGGTTGTAGTCAATCGTCTTGTAATGTTAAAATCTATCGCAAATATCTCATACTGTTCTGTCGGGGTTTATCTGAAGTAATCCGCGGCTTTTTTCATTTAATTAAATGAGCACTAGTAGCTGCACACAAGTAATTCTGGATTATTCTATGAAGAACATCTTGACTTCTACAAGCAAGAAATTGTTGACAAATTTTAGTGGAATTAACTAAGTATTCAAGGCCATGAGTACGACTGTTAAACCAGGAAAATGGAAATATTGCCGAGGCTATTTAAATATTAAAGGTAATAAGGCTATTTACGCATCCAAGGTCATGGGTTTATCTAAGTCAGTGGCTCTCAACCTTCTTAATGCCGTGACCCTTGAATAAAGTTATCTCATGTTGTGGCGACCCCCAAACAATATTTTCCATCATAATTTAAATGAATATGTGCTTTCTGATGGTTTTATGCGACCCATGTTGTTCGACCTAAAAAAAAAGGGGGTCATGGCCGGCAGGTTGAGAACCACTGATATAGGTATCCAAGGCCACAAATGTGATAACCAGACAGCTAAAATGTTACCTTTGATAGTATGGGGTTATAAAGCTGTCTTCGAACTGGTACTTCTTGGTTATGTGTTCGTAATACTGAAAATATGAGAGGCTGCGAGGGTGAGTCTGAAAATGGGTTTTCTCTGTAGAGTTCTGATGAAAGATGATTCCAGTATTCCAGGCAGATTTTGAAAATTTCAACCTCTTCAACGTGTGAAATCAGAATAAGGTAGTGCAACGCCTGAAACACAAAAGAAAAGAATCATTCAAACAAGCATTAATAAAACTGTTAACAATTTAAAACTTCAAAGTAAAAATAAACTGTCCCAAAGATGCCTCCATTTTGTCACGTTGGGGCAGTCTGGGCTTCCAAATGGACCCCCCCCCCCCCTCATTAACCCAGAGAGCTATGCCAGCTGTAGCACAGCTACCAAGCAGGACCTCCCAAGCCGGACAGATCAGAGAACAAACAAAAACACACTCTGGTCCTTGAGGTTGAGGGTTGAAATGTGAGGCCAACATCCCACCAGTGTAAAAACTCAATCCCACAAAAGAGATATCTGAGCTTCAAATCTGGCAGGATATTAATAGACTACAACCATGGAATGTTCAAGGACTTTTCACATCTCTGGAAAAGGTGGAGAATATACAGAGACAAGCAACAATAAAATCTTAAGAAATCAGCACTAATACCGACATCATGAAGACAAAACAAAAAAATAACAGTTGGGGCGTAGGGAAAGAATAACGGATAACAGAGAGGTTAAAACTGCATACACAAAAAAGCCGAATGGGAGCAGATCAAGAGGCAGAACAAGCTAATACACTTGGAGGGAAAAAACAACTGTAAAAAAATGCTAATCACAGAGGTGAATGCAGACGAGTGATATCTGCAGCCATGAACCTGTAGGGGTCAGCATGCTGAAGAAGAATGTAAACATCAATCCCAAGCCATCATGATTCAGTTTTTAGTGTAATCTTTTTTAGTGTAATCACAGACCTTCATACATACAACTCAATATATTTAAAGAAAGCATCAGTTAATATGAACATGACATCTCCATACAGAACATCCTCAAAAGATGGAGGCGCAGACCAAAATAGTTATCTATACTCTGCATCTGCTGGACTCACTCGCAGCAAAAGTTTATGTAATCTTCTATGTCAGTACATGTGTAAAGACAATGCTAGCAGTAACATTTAGAAAATTAGGTAGTGAAAGACTTGATAATCTTATCTCAGTTTCTAAGAATTCTACAGGAAAATAAAATAGTAAGAAACAAGGAAATAATAGCTCTTTAAAGTTTCTACTTTGAAGCTATATCTTTATCGTTTATCAATTTACAACTCGTTTAGGTTAAAAAGCCACACTGTGGGGAAAACAAGAATAGAGCCACTAATTGGAGGCTTCCCTCAGAGTCAGAGTGCATCTGCCTGAATGGCAAGAAACCAACAACTGCACATAAATAAGCCAGTAAAACGAATGTAAACATAAAACTCAGGCCCTGGCATGAAGCTAAAGTCTAAATGCACAAACAACCCCAGGACTTCCCGCCAGAGCTTACAGCCGGTAAACAAAGAAGAAGAATTTATAAAACAAAAGTGAATAAATGAATAGGCAGGTGAAGATGTTCTGACTATGAATCAGTGATCGGTGAGCTGTTGCTGACTATGGAATGAATCAGTGATCGATGAGCTGTTGCTGACTATGAAATGAATCAGATGTTTTGTGCAGACATCAGATCAATAGGAAACAAAACTAAAAAAGTTTCTGTGAAAGTAAAACACTTGTGAAGTTGGTTTTATCCTGCTCCAATTCGGCGGCTGCTCTCACCAGGAAATTAAAGGTTATCACACAGCAACTATTTGTTATTTCAACCAACCTCCTTGAGAAGTGGATGCAGTTCTGGCTTTGTCTCCACCAGCTGTGCGTGTTCCTTCAGGAAAGTGCACAAAAACAGGCTGAGGTTCTGGATGAAGTTCTGTTCATCGTCTGTGCCTCCCTGGTAGGCCACTTTGATGTTTGTTTGCAGTGGAAGCATCTGGACAATATTTAAAAAATAAATAATTGAGAATATAGTTTAACAATCAATCACTGTGAATATGGCTCAATAATCAATCAAACACTTAGATTATAATTTAGCAATTGATCAAATTAATTTAAGGTCAGGTCTTGGTCAGGTATGAAAATGAGCTACCTACTGTATAACAGTAGCCAGTGCTACCTGTTTTCTGTTACGCCGAATGTTTGGCAGCGTATACCAAACCTAACATCTCATATTGGGCTTTGGGTGTAGGAGCGCATTGGGGATGATACTAGCCTTATCCTAGAAAGAGGAAATACAACCTGAAAACTTTATGTTATGGCAGGGCAGACCAGTCTAGGAGAGAAGCTCTGACAGGCGTACAGATAGAACAATGCTCTCCTGATCCCGCAGCTTCGGAAACAAATCGAGAGGCAGCAGTTATGGGTTTTAAGTCCTTGTCAATTGGCGTAGACGAGGGCACCATGGATTGCCTCTGACAAAGGGAGACATCTTCGAATGTCACTGATCAACTACCGCCCGCCTCAAGCTAGGCAGCCCCCAGCCAATAAGGTTTTGATCCACCACAGCTTGTATACTTCAACGGGTGCTTGGAGCTAGGACAAAATCCGAACTGCAGGCTGAAAAACCAGTGCACCAGGAAATAAAAAGAAACTTTTTCAATGAACTGGAAAATATTAATGTGAGAAAAACGGCTATCATTGATGCCGAGCTCAACAAACTCGACATATATATTGCTGACCTTCAGAGGATGGGTCCATTAAAGAAAATAATTATACGTTCTTCTGGAAAGGCAGAGGCCAGGAAGAAATCTGCATGTATGGAGTAGAATATGCAGTAAAGAATTTACTGTTGGGATGAGTTGAGAGTCCGTTGGGATCAACTGAGAGTCTAACTGGAGGAAGTGACAGAATACTATCTCTACAATTGTCTACCTCAAGCGATTTTATTACCCTTGTTACTGCATAAGCACCCACTCTAACGTCAACTGGGGACGCAAAGGATTCTTTTATGAGGAATTGGATAATGCAGTGAAAGCAATACCTAAATCTGATGGCATCTATTTACTCTGTGATTTTAATGCTCGCGTGGGGTCAGACTCAAACTCATGGCCAGTTGGTCTCGGAAAATATAATGTTGGCCACATGAATGAAAATGGGCAGACTATTTAAGAATTCTGCTCTAGAAGTGACCTGTGCATCACAAACTCCTTTTTCAAAACTAAAGACCGCCATAAGGTGTCATGGAAACATCCAAGATCTGGCCACTGGCACCAGATGGACCTTATTCTCACAAGGAGGCAGCACTTGATCTGTGTATCACTAACTCACAGCTACCACAGTGCTGACTGTGATACTGACCATTCCCAAAATGCCATGGACTGTGTCGTGTGGAGAGGGCATATCAAGAAGGGAATGAGAGTGAAGGAAGAAATGATTGCACAAAAGATGAGAGCTGAGCATCTGAGAAGAAACAGATTAAACACAAATGTTGACAACAATGGTGCTGAAATCCCATCCTATCATTGCGGAAGACTTTTTAATGCAGGCAGGTCTTACTAGTCACACTCGCCATCGCCATGGGTTGTGAGTCCCATGCCTCCTCATAGCGCAACATAACACTACCGTTTGGAAAGGAGCCAATCAATCAAATTAATTATGGAAAATATAGTTTAACAATCAATTACTGAGAATACAGTTTAACAATCATTCACTGAGAATACAATTTTTACTAATTCAATAAACAATCACCTGATTCAACTGGGTCATTCCTAGAGTAAATAGCTGTAGGAACTGTTCCCCATAGCTTTGAGATGCCTGGACTCCAGCTGCAATCAGAGCCAAAACAAATTTAGTTATTTACAACACAACAAACTGTCAAAATGTAATAAATGCAATATTACAAAATACACTGACTGCTGTAAAATATTTACTGTCACAACATAACACACATATTTTTTTATTATTAACAAATTGTCATTGCAAAATAAATCTTTCTATTCTTCACATTTAAAGGCTATAAACTGGCAGAAAGTTCTGGTTATACTTCCACTTCTGGACTTCAGTCTTGTTCCTCAACTTGAGTGTTGTGTGCACATCTGTTTTACTGAATCTGGCTTATTTGCATGCAGACTTGGTTCACTGTCTCTCAGGCAGATGCACTCCAACTTTGAAGGAAGCACCCAACTGGTCAACGCTTACGATATGCTTGTTGGGGAGGCAGTGGGTCTGTTCTTGCTTTCCCCCACACTCGAAACTGTTCAGTGTTTGTCTCTGCCTTGGTCGTCTGCTGACAGAACTCATGGGATTGAAAGAGATCAACAGAAACTCACACATATTTATTGTAGACTTGCCTAGAAAACCTCATCAACAAACAAATGCTGGGGTTGGTTCTGCAATGTCCTTTAAAGGATACGCAACTAACTTGTAAGTATTGTAGGCTCAAAATTAGGACTACTCCCTAATTTAAGTAACTATTATTATTTATGTTTGGGAAACTTACCGATTTCTGTTAGACACTTCATTGTGACATTTCTGAACAGTGGAACATTGAGAAACTGAAAAACAGATTTTGTAACGATCATTTTACAAGTAAAAGTGTCCACAACAAAAGTAATGAATTGTCAAGGCAGATCTCGGTAATAATATTTTATCATATAATTATTATCATCATCATGTGCCCTGCCAACTGGCGTAGGCGCTCATGCGTCTCCACAGATCACGATCCCTGGTTGCCTGGAACAGCTCTCTTGATGATATCCATGCCATCGTTTCAGCCCATCCAGCATCATCTCCCTTGGTCTGCCTCTACCCCCTCTTCCACTGATCTTTCCAGTTGTCACGATGTTCTCCAATATAATTATAACTGTTCAAATAATCATAACCATATTTGGAATGTCAAGTGTGTTGTGATACCAGTTCTTGACTCAGTTCCACTCAAACCATTCACAATTTCTATAACCCTGTCACATATTTAATTTTCTACTGAGCAACGTAGAAGTTGAAATAATTATTAAAATTTGATTGTTTGTAATTTGTGAACAAACTCGTCATTTTATAAATGAACACACAAAAACTAAACACAACTGAAAACAATCAACAGCAAAAAAATAAATTTTTTTTAAATCACAAAATAATTAAATTGTCCTTTTATTTGTATCAATTCTATGTGATGTAACTGAAAACAGAAAGTATGATCAAACTTCTAGTGGGAAGATAAACAATAACTGTCATGTTGTTTCTAAGTCCAGCTGACACCATCAGAAGCATGCCTGATGTCCAATGGTGGATAAGCCCTCCCTGATATAACCCCTGCTCAATTCTTTTGTAGACCAGATTATGACTGGCTGGATTATGATGTTTCTACTTTCTATATTAATTCTGGAGAGGTATGTGCCAAAACATCAGAGTTGTCTTGTGTCCCGTGTGACAATACACTGAGTCAAATTGCACTGGCTTTTATCCAAAATGGCTTGGTCTCTCTCTCTTTCTGCAGAACTGCAAGCTGCCTGTTGAGAGTATCAAAGCACAAACTTCATAGCTCCCGTGACAATCCCCAGGTATAAACTGCACAGATAAACTGAATGACGTAGCCATGAAACAAACCCATGACCTTCAGAGTGCGAGGCAAACGGCTCGACCACTTCCTCGTAGAGACACCTACACATTGAGTTAACTTTATGCAGACCTGTTCACAGGAAAGGGTCGTATACATGTCCTTTCTGCAGGGGCTCAACTTACCTTATAAATGAGAGTAGTAATCAGTTTTGTCTCAAAGATGTAGCCAAGGGGAATCCAGTTTAGGAATCGGAGTAAAGTTTCCAGCGTGGCACCAACAAGGGGCGCATTCTGACTATTATCCTAAACAAGAAAATATAGAGAATGTTGAGTTTATTAAAGAGGCATACATCTGTAAATACAATGAAATACTGGGTGCATATTGCAACAAAACCAATAAGTTATAGAAGAGGGAAGAATGGCTTCTAAAATAGTTCATGAGTTGTTATCATTTTGGACACCACTGCACTCTGGGCATTCCCCTGTGTGCTCAGTCTGACGCAGCAGTACATCTAAGATACCTCCACTAATTGAAGAGTTGATTATAGTATTTCCTATATTAGTCTTGAAGGCAGTATAAACTATTTTGTCAAGCTTAAACCAGCCAAAAATGTCAAGAACAAATCAGATGAGACTGCCAAAATATCATAGCTCTGCTGTGAACAGGCATAATATAATTATGATGGAAAAAAATGGTATTTGAACAGAGAAGGATGAATATCTGCCTAGTTTCTTGAAATGTGAACCACATGAAAAGTGAGCTGACCCCCTCCCCCCCCCCCCCACAACATAAAGTACAAACAACAGTAGTAGATACAAGAAACTAGACACAGCAAGGTCTTGACCTTGGCATACTTACAGCAGACGTGAACATGCCATAGCCAAAGGAAATCCAAAAAGTGGAGAATAAAATCAAGAAATTTAATACCAAATAACAAGATCAGTTACAGTAATACACATCAGTTGATGCCCTAAGTGACACACAGTAAGACAGCAAATACTGCAAGAACAAACAAGCTTATGTATAATCAACCACAAAGTAATATCTAAAGATGAATATAATCAATCAATCAGGTGCCGTCTCCACAATGAAGGTTGGTTGCAATGGATCTCCAACAAGCCCTGTCTCTTGCCCTTGATGTACACTCACTCATACTGCTGTTCGCCCATCTCTTGATGTTATCCTCCCACTTGTACCGCTGTCTGCCTTTTGCTCGCCTTCCTTGAACCTTTCCCTCTAGGATGATCTTTACAATACTGTTATGTCTTTTAATGTGGCCAAAATATTTCACTTGTCTCTTTTTTATTTCACCTAGCAACTCTCTTTTCATTCCCCATTGACTCCATAAAAAATAAAACTACAATAATACAACTAGTATTCAAACCTAAACTACATCAATACAATTAGTATGCAAAGTTAAACATAGTGACGCCAACTATAAAAACACAAAAAGTATCAAAGCTGAATATAATTATATCTACCGTAATCACATAAAATCTAGAATTATACAATACACAATTAAGGCTGAACATTCAAAGCAACTGTGGAGAAGAAGTGACTCATGAATGCATGCTACCAATTAGGACATCTTGTGTGTCCAGTACTTTACCAACACTGCTACAACTGAACCAGCAAGCACAATCTATAGAAAATGTTTACACCATTAATATACCACAACAAACTTAATCTCTGGCACATGTTTACAACAACAACTTACCATGACAAACTGACACAGCTGAAAGATCTGGGAGAACTCACTGCACATGGTATCTTTGAGATGCTTGGCTTTAGCCTGTGTCATCTGGCCAGTGGAGAAGTCAAACACTTCCTCGCTAAAATGTGAGAAAATACATTTTAATTAACATTTCTAAGCGTATCTGGCATTGATCATCACCCTTCAAGTCAAAGTCGAGTCCTAAGTGATTGCTGCCAAGTACCAAGTCACTGTGAACGCTTCCAAGCGGAGTCCCAAGTCAAATCACTTCACGTATCAAGTCATTTGCAAGTTGTGCATAGAACGACGCTTATCTTTGAAACTGGTGAGTCTGTTACAATACCAAGACAACAATTGTAAGATTCTGATTTTGAATTTAAATAGCTAAATGCATACAAATGCATATTAAAGGTATTCTTTTTTTTTTAAATTTGCAGAAAACTGAAAAACTGTCACATTATTTTATTCTATTATTTATATAATGGATGTAATTCATATTTTTTCACTGAAGCTACGAGTCGCTGAACGAAACCTCAAGTTGCACTCAAGTCCAAGTCGCGTGACTCGAGTTCAGACCACTGGTATGTACTTGAGAGCTAGCATGAAAATGGATGCAGGATTTAATATTTTCCTTCTTGTGATATATCAAGATGCTGCAAAACATTACTCACAGGGAAGCTGTGCTTATTGATAAACATACACAAAAATATAAAGGAATAACAGAATCAGAGAAATTAGAGGCAGTCATGTTATGAGAAGGAATGGACTCAAGTACTGGTAATGACAGGCAAGAGAAGAAATTGACTCCAATACTGGTAATAACAGACAAGAGAAGGAATGGACTCCAGTACTGGTAATGACAGGCAAGAGAAGAAATGGACTCCAATACTGGTAATAACAGACAAGAGAAGGAATGGACTCCAGTACTGGTAATGACAGGCAAGAGAAGAAATGGACTCCAATACTGGTAATGACAAGAGAAGGAATGGACTCCAGTACTGGTAATGACAGGCAAGAGAAGAAATGGACTCCAATACTGGTAATAACAGACAAGAGAAGGAATGGACTCCAGTACTGGCAATGACAGGCAAGAGAAGAAATGGACTCCAATACTGGTAATGACAGACAAGAGAAGGAATGGACTCAAGTACTGGTAATAACAGGCAAGAGAAGAAATGGACTCCAATACTGGTAATGACAGACAAGAGAAGGAATGGACTCCAGTACTGGTAATAACAGGCAAGAGAAGAAATGGACTCCAATACTGGTAATGACAGACAAGAGAAGGAATGGACTCAAGTACTGGTAATAACAGGCAAGAGAAGAAATGGACTCCAATACTGGTAATGACAGACAAGAGAAGAAATGGACTCCAATACTGGTAATGACAGACAAGAGAAGGAATGGACTCCAGTAGTGGTAATGGCAGACAAGAGAAGGAATGGACTCCAGTAGTAATGACAGACAAGAGAAGGAATGGACTCCAGTACTGGTAATGACAGGCAAGATTGATAGAAAATAAGCAAAGAGATAAATAAATGGATGGCTCAGCCATAAGGATGGGGCAAGACAAGAACACAGAGCTGATCCCTGATTCTGATGATCATGTGAGATTGCAAAACGTCACAGCCTATGCTTATCATCAAGACACATAATGATAATTTATCAAAGACACTGATTTTCAATGTTGGTACGTGATGATATGTCATGGAAATTTACCTCAGCAGCTTCAGTATGGTCATGTTGTTCTGGCAAAGTGATTCATTCGTTTTACTGGCCCCAATAATATCGCTAATGAAGGTAGGCCAGTTCCTTGGCCATTCATATTTCAGAATCTGAAAGTTATTAACAAAAAATAAAATTACAACAATTTTAATAAATTACCAACATAAAGCAAAAATAGTAGCGGACTCATTTTCATGCCTTGACCTTCTGACCAGGAAAGTCCTAATTAAAGCACTTCAGAGTCCAGTTCTCGGGAAATGTCACTTGAGCTGCATTTTTTGTCATGCGTTTACGAGGTGCATAATTAATGCCACTGTTGTATTTGTTCCTGCGCAGCATTTAAGAAGACTGGATATTCCTTGTAAACTAAATGGTTTGTTTAAAGCCAGGTTGACATCAAATTTTCCCCTAGCCTCAGTGATTGAGGCATCGGGATCAATGCATGAGTCATGTGTTACATATTTTTGTTAGGCCCTTAGAAATGTATTCCATTTAATGCTTCCCCCGTCTGTGTTTGAGTACTCCCTTTATATATCTTTATCAATAAAAGAAATTGTAAAATTTATTAGGGGTCTGTGTAATGAGACTGTTTATTACAGATTTTTCAGAATTCCCATGGGATCATGACCAATATTTGTCCACTTTATTCATGGGATATGGTTCTGGCCCTGTTCATTATTGGACCAGCTGGTATTCGTCGGGTGATATGGTCAAGACCAGGATTTTTATCATCACTTCTGAGAATATTTCTTGTTACCAGTTTTTAAGATGTGCTGACCTGACAGACCTGGGAAAAACTTTTTAAATAAATGTTTCACTTTAAAGAGGATTCACACATATGCCAACTGGGCTGCCAGGTTCTGGTTCCCATACGCATATTGTATGAAGTTAACATAAGGTTACTGTTAGCAGTTCTTTTTCATGGTCACCGGCTGTAAACTCCAGGGGAAAACTCAGGGTGTTCGTCCACCTCTAGAGTTTAATCTTGTTCAAGAACCTGAGTGTTGCATGCATCTGATTTACAGATCTGGTTTATTTGTATGCAGACTAGTGGTCCCTTGCCTATAAGGCAGATGCACTCGAAGGAATCTCCCAAATTAGTCGACTCATACAACATGCTTTTTGGGGAGGCAGTGGGTCTATTCTTGTTTTCCCCGCAGTGGGGCCCGGGAACCCTCGAAAGGATGCTGGCAGTTATAAAAATGTCAAAAAATGATAACTGGATCTGTAAACAAAATTAACAGAATAAGTAAAGCAATCATTTAATTTAGATGAACTATTCAAAGGGTCAAAATATAAAGAAAATCAGGCAAATTGAAGTGGTTTTCTCTATTTCTACGGTAAAATGGATGCATCCTTAAATGCAGTACACCTTCTTCCTGACTTATGACCATCTGCAAATATGACCACAAAATAATAAATACAAATAGTAAATAAAAACAGATAACTACATTTAACATTAGTAGGGTCAAAAAGTTCCCGGAACTGATGCAACACTCAATTTTCACATTACTTACAAGTTATACGTACATATGAGAATTTGTGTGTTTATATCCAAGTGCATACTCATTTGAACACAAACATGGTTGAAACAAAGATAAATTCAACCTATAACGGGTTCTATTATGGCCTGTTAGTCGGCATGGAACTCAGTCGCAAGTTGAGAAGACTATAGGAGAAATAAAAGGACCCTTGATATCCTCTGGCGCATCAAGCAGACATAGTTGATGTACTAGCCCTATATTTGTATAAACTGAACGGCAATGGATGAGGTCAATATCATGGCAGCCTCAGTTTGCAGCATTACAAAAATAATGAAATGAGCGGGAGAAAGCAAACAAGAACTACCTGAACTAGGATCATGTTTAGCTTCCCAAGATAGACCCTCTCGCTTTCCAACAAGACTGCATCTGATGAAGTCTTGATGATTAAACCAACAATGTACTTTTTGATGCCTGGGGAAAGAAAGATCAGAATAAATGTAAAATCATTATCTTATACATACAAACATGTGTGTGTGTTCAACTGTATCTTGCCATCACAGAGTAAATGTAAAATCATTCTCTCATACATACAAACATGTGTGTGTGTTCAACTGTATCTTGCCATCACAGAATAAATGTAAAATCATTCTCTCGTACATACAAACATGTGTGTGTGTTCAACTGTATCTTGCCATCACAGAATAAATGTAAAATCATTCTCTCATACATACAAATTAAACCAACAATGTACTTTTTGATGCCTGGGGAAAGAAAGATCAGAATAAATGTAAAATCATTATCTTATACATACAAACATGTGTGTGTGTGTTCAACTGTATCTTGCCATCACAGAGTAAATGTAAAATCATTCTCTCATACATACAAACATGTGTGTGTGTTCAACTGTATCTTGCCATCACAGAATAAATGTAAAATCATTCTCTCGTACATACAAACATGTGTGTGTGTTCAACTGTATCTTGCCATCACAGAATAAATGTAAAATCATTCTCTCATACATACAAACATGTGTGTGTGTGTTCAACTGTATCTTGCCATGTCAGAACAAATGTAAAATCATTCTCTCATATATACAAACATGCGTGAGTGTTTAACTGTATCTTGCCATCACAGAATAAATGTAAAATCATTCTCTCATACATACAAACATGTGTGTGTGTTCAACTGTATCTTGCCATCACAGAACAAATGTAAAATCATTCTCTCACATATACAAACATGTGTGTATGTGTTCAACTGTATCTTGCCATCACAGAATAAATGTAAAATCATTCTCTCATATATACAAACATGTGTGTGCGTTCAACTGTATCTTGCCATCACAGAACAAATGTAACATCATTCTCTCATACATACAAACATGTGTGGGTGTTCAACCGTATCTTGCCATCACAGAACAAATGTAAAATCATTCTCTCATACATACAAACATGTTTGTGTGTTCAACCGTATTTTCTTCTCAATGTCCACAGACTGTAAACACCAGTGGAAAGTCCAGGTTGTTTGTCCACTACAGTGTGCACATCTGTTTAACAGATCTGGCTTATTTGTGTGCAGGCTGCTAGTTCCTTGCCTCTGAAGCAGATGTACAACTCTGAAGGAAATTTTGATCCTATCTACACTGTCCAGGCTCCTATCTACACTGTCCAGGCTCCTATCTACACTGGCCAGGCTCCTATCTACACTGTCCAGGCTGCTATCTAAACTGTCCAGGCTCCTATCTACACTGTCCAGGCTCCTATCTTCACTGTCCAGGCTGCTATCTAAACTGTCCAGGCTCCTGTCTACACTGTCCAGGCTCCTATCTACACTGTCCAGGCTCCTGTCTAAACTGGCCAGGCTCCTATCTACACTGTCCAGGCTCCTATCTACACTGGCCAGGCTCCTATCTACACTGGCCAGGCTCCTATCTACACTGGCCAGGCTCCTATCTACACTGTCCAGGCTCCTATCTACACTGGCCAGGCTCCTATCTACACTGGCCAGGCTCCTATCTACACTGGCCAGGCTCCTATCTACACTGGCCAGGCTACTATCTACACTGACCAGGCTACTATCTACACTGGCCAGGCTACTATCTACACTGGCCAGGCTCCTATCTACACTGGCCAGGCTCCTATCTACACTGGCCAGGCTACTATCTACACTGGCCAGGCTCCTATCTACACTGGCCAGGCTACTATCTACACTGGCCAGGCTCCTATCTACACTGGCCAGGCTACTATCTACACTGTCCAGGCTACTATCTACACTGGCCAGGCTACTATCTACACTGGCCAGGCTCCTATCTACACTGTCCAGGCTACTATCTACACTGGCCAGGCTACTATCTACACTGACCAGGCTACTATCTACACTGGCCAGGCTACTATCTACACTGGCCAGGCTCCTATCTACACTGGCCAGGCTCCTATCTACACTGGCCAGGCTACTATCTACACTGGCCAGGCTCCTATCTACACTGGCCAGGCTACTATCTACACTGTCCAGGCTACTATCTACACTGGCCAGGCTACTATCTACACTGGCCAGGCTCCTATCTAAACTGGCCAGGCTACTATCTACACTGTCCAGGCTACTATCTACACTGTCCAGGCTACTATCTACACTGTCCAGGCTACTATCTACACTGTCCAGGCTCCTATCTACACTGGCCAGGCTCCTATCTACACTGTCCAGGCTACTATCTACACTGTCCAGGCTCCTGTCTACACTGGCCAGGCTCCTATCTACACTGGCCAGGCTCCTGTCTACACTGGCCAGGCTCCTGTCTACACTGGCCAGGCTCCTGTCTACACTGACCAGGCTTCTATCTACACTGGCCAGGCTCCTATCTACACTGTCCAGGCTCCTATCTACACTGGCCAGGCTCCTATCTACACTGGCCAGGCTACTATCTACACTGGCCAGGCTACTATCTACACTGGCCAGGCTCCTATCTACACTGGCCAGGCTACTATCTACACTGACCAGGCTCCTGTCTACATTGGCCAGGCTCCTATCTACACTGGCCAGGCTCCTATCTACACTGTCCAGGCTCCTATATACACTGGCCAGGCTCCTATCTACACTGTCCAGGCTCCTATCTACACTGTCCAGGCTACTATCTACACTGACCAGGCTCCTATCTACACTGGCCAGGCTCCTATCTACACTGGCCAGGCTACTATCTACACTGACCAGGCTCCTATCTACACTGGCCAGGCTCCTATCTACACTGGCCAGGCTCCTATCTACACTGGCCAGTATAGATCCTGGTCTTAGTGCACCACCACATGTGGTTCAACAGCACTGCATCCCACCACATCTTAGTGATACAGTTTGTATTTTATCATTGGTGATCCATACTGTGAGTAGTTAGATGGCAACAGGTACCATCAATATGTAACCACACTAGACGGCCATGGTTGTCCTGGCAACATCAGCCAGACTGGAAAACCATGGTATCCTGGGAACATCAGCCAGACTGGAAAACCAAAGTTATCCTTGGAACAACAGCCAGGCCGGAAAACCATGGTATCCTGGAAACATCAGGCAGACTGGAAGTCCATGATTATCCTTGAAATATAAGCCAGTCCTAAAAATGTTTCTCAAAAAAAAGTCTACAGAATGGATGAATGCTAGAATTCCATCCCCTGTTGTGTACAGAACGGACCAACACAAAAAAGTACTACTACTTCATGTGAAAGATGAGACAGGTAGAAAGTTTAACAGGCCCATATAAGGTGAGTGTAGACATGCCTGTCTGGCTGTTAAGAAAGGATGCCTTGAACTCTGTTGCAAGGATGGAGAGAATCAGGAAGGGAATAGGGATAAATGAGAAAGCGACTGTAGACTTAGAGCTGAGCATTTTGATTAAATGCGGGTTAAAGCTTCGTGATAGCAAAAATGTTCCTGAAATCCTATGTTCCAATCGCGGAAGACTTTTCTTGCCATCACCAAGGGTTGTGACTCCCATGCTACCAACAGGAAAAATAACTCTGGAGTGAAAGGTGCCCAGAAAAAAAATTACCCACACTCACCTTCACACTGCTCTCTTGGCAAAACCTTCCACCGAGTTCTGATCACATTTTCTAAAATCTGGAGAGCGTAATATTTGGTCTGTTGGTTGCTGGAATACTCCAGAATTGTGTCCACCCGAGTCCAAGCATCAGCATGTTCCTTGAGTGCCGTCAACACTTCCTGGGCCATTCGTTGCTGCAGACAACAATGTGGGGTCATTGCAACTGTTACTTTCTAAATATTACTATTTGATGAAGAAACAGCACAGCTATGTGAAAGATTTGGATAAACAGAATCTAACTGTAAATGTTACTGTTTGAAGATGTGACAGCATAGACATCAGAAAGATTTAGATGTGTGGAAGCTAACAGAAAAGTTAAAAACTGTTCACCCCTGCAGACATCGCCTGCCTCTATTCCTCTTTGTGACTGACCCTATCTTTCCAGTTGGTGGCTCCAAGTGTTTGTATGTCTGCATGGATAATACTGTCTATCCATCGTCTCGTTGATCTGCTTCATAGTCTACTCCCACTCAACTCTTTTAGGTCCACATATTTTTGTCTCTCAGTTATCTGTCATTCTCTCTCTCTACATGCCCCAACCACTGTAGTCAATTAGTGTTCATGATGTCAGTAACTGGTGGTGATTAAAACAAATTATGAATGTCATTGCTGATGACATCTGCCTATAAAAGTTCATTTGTAAAGATCTCATAACATATGCATATGAAAGACCTCTAATAACAAGTGAAACTTGCTATTCTTAGATTGTATGTGTTTCTATCAATGGATGTTAATATCACTTTTACGCAGTTGTGTTTATCCGCCCTGTTATTATTAAATTTTTATTTTTGTTGCACTTCTGTAGTTATATAGGCAAGTTATGACACATTCATTTCTGACCTCTTCTTTCCACCATTAATTATCACATTCAAAGAAATAAAGATCAACTTATACAGCGCATTAGAAAGAGCCCACACACAGAATATCCTTACATCTCCTTACACTCCGCTTAGGTATCTGAAGGAAGACAAGGAGAAGCTGACTATCCACTAAAACAATAAACAAGGGGGCCGGGTAAATACCTGACCAGCTGGCCATCACCTGTGTACATGCACAACATGACATTGTTAGAAAGTTGAATATTTACTAAAATAATAAGTTATCAGTTAAAAAACCAACATCCTAGCCCTCGGGACATTCCCATAAGCCATTAAGCGCTCTGTTCCCATCTACAGCAGCAAGTGCAGAGTTCCAATTCCAATGGTAACAGTAATAATCTGATATGTCCATCTGGCCCTTCCCCTGGAGTGTCAGCCAGATTCCCTGGTGACTCCTTGCTGCACCATTCTCCTCAGACTGTGCCTCCCCACTCCCACAGAGCCCTAGAAACAATAAACACCTGGACAAACATCTCACCTGCTGGCCATCAGCAGTGTACATGCAAGACAGGATGCCACTCCCACAGAGCCCTAGAAACAATAAACACCTGGACAAACATCTCACCTGTTGGCCATCAGCCGTGTACATGCAAGACACGATGCCACTCCCACAGAGCCCTAGCAACAATAAACACCTGGACAAACATCTCACCTGCTGGCCATCAGCAGTGTACATGCAAGACACAATGCCACTCCCACAGAGCCCTAGCAACAATAAACACCTGGACAAACATCTCACCTGCTGGCCATCAGCAGTGTACATGCAAGACACAATGCCACGCCCACAGAGCCCTAGCAACAATAAACACCTGGACAAACATCTCACCTGTTGGCCATCATCAGTGTACATGCAAGACACAATGCCACGCCCACAGAGCCCTAGAAACAATAAACACCTGGACAAACATCTCACCTGTTGGCCATCAGCAGTGTACATGCAAGACACGATGCCACTCCCACAGAGCCCTAGCAACAATAAACACCTGGACAAACATCTCACCTGTTGGCCATCAGCAGTGTACATGCAAGACACGATGCCACTCCCACAGAGCCCTAGCAACAATAAACACTTGGACAAACATCTCACCTGCTGGCCATCAGCAGTGTACATGCAAGACACGATGCCACTCCCACAGAGCCCTAGCAACAATAAACACTTGGACAAACATCTCACCTGCTAGCCATCAGCAGTGTACATGCAAGACACGATGCCACTCCCACAGAGCCCTAGCAACAATAAACACTTGGACAAACATCTCACCTGCTGGCCATCAGCAGTGTACATGCAAGACACGATGCCACTCCCACAGAGCCCTAGCAATAATAAACACTTGGACAAACATCTCACCTGCTGGCCATCAGCAGTGTACATGCAAGACACGATGCCACTCCCACAGAGCCCTAGCAACAATAAACACGTGGACAAACATCTCACCTGTTGGCCATCAGCAGTGTACATGCAAGACAGGATGCCACTCCCACAGAGCCCTAGAAACAATAAACACCTGGACAAACATCTCACCTGTTGGCCATCAGCCGTGTACATGCAAGACACGATGCCACTCCCACAGAGCCCTAGCAACAATAAACACCTGGACAAACATCTCACCTGCTGGCCATCAGCAGTGTACATGCAAGACACAATGCCACTCCCACAGAGCCCTAGCAACAATAAACACCTGGACAAACATCTCACCTGCTGGCCATCAGCAGTGTACATGCAAGACACAATGCCACGCCCACAGAGCCCTAGCAACAATAAACACCTGGACAAACATCTCACCTGTTGGCCATCATCAGTGTACATGCAAGACACAATGCCACGCCCACAGAGCCCTAGAAACAATAAACACCTGGACAAACATCTCACCTGTTGGCCATCAGCAGTGTACATGCAAGACACGATGCCACTCCCACAGAGCCCTAGCAACAATAAACACCTGGACAAACATCTCACCTGTTGGCCATCAGCAGTGTACATGCAAGACACGATGCCACTCCCACAGAGCCCTAGCAACAATAAACACTTGGACAAACATCTCACCTGCTGGCCATCAGCAGTGTACATGCAAGACACGATGCCACTCCCACAGAGCCCTAGCAACAATAAACACTTGGACAAACATCTCACCTGCTAGCCATCAGCAGTGTACATGCAAGACACGATGCCACTCCCACAGAGCCCTAGCAACAATAAACACTTGGACAAACATCTCACCTGCTGGCCATCAGCAGTGTACATGCAAGACACGATGCCACTCCCACAGAGCCCTAGCAATAATAAACACTTGGACAAACATCTCACCTGCTGGCCATCAGCAGTGTACATGCAAGACACGATGCCACTCCCACAGAGCCCTAGCAACAATAAACACGTGGACAAACATCTCACCTGTTGGCCATCAGCAGTGTACATGCAAGACACGATGCCACTCCCACAGAGCCCTAGCAACAATAAACACCTGGACAAACATCTCACCTGCTGGCCATCAGCAGTGTACATGCAAGACACGATGCCACTCCCACAGAGCCCTAGCAACAATAAACACCTGGACAAACATCTCACCTGCTGGCCATCAGCAGTGTACATGCAAGACACGATGCCACTCCCACAGAGCCCTAGCAACAATAAACACCTGGACAAACATCTCACCTGTTGGCCATCAGCAGTGTACATGCAAGACACAATGCCACTCCCACAGAGCCCTAGCAACAATAAACACCTGGACAAACATCTCACCTGTTGGCCATCAGCAGTGTACATGCAAGACACAATGCCACTCCCACAGAGCCCTAGCAACAATAAACACCTGGACAAACATCTCACCTGTTGGCCATCAGCAGTGTACGTGCAAGACACGATGCCACTCCCACAGAGCCCTAGCAACAATAAACACCTGGACAAACATCTCACCTGTTGGCCATCAGCAGTGTACGTGCAAGACACGATGCCACTCCCACAGAGCCCTAGCAACAATAAACACGTGGACAAACATCTCACCTGTTGGCCATCAGCAGTGTACATGCAAGACACAATGCCACTCCCACAGAGCCCTAGCAACAATAAACACCTGGACAAACATCTCACCTGTTGGCCATCAGCAGTGTACATGCAAGACACGATGCCACTCCCACAGAGCCCTAGCAACAATAAACACGTGGACAAACATCTCACCTGTTGGCCATCAGCAGTGTACATGCAAGACACGATGTTGTCAAGTAGTTGAATATCGAGCTTCTGGCTGAAATCCAGCAATTTCTCGGCCTGTTCTGCTAATGTTACCATTTTCATTCTTTGATGAAGTGCTATGCATGAAAAGACCTACAAGCAGAAACAACCATGAACTTTAATGTCAGTCTAATGTTTGATTTCAGTTAATATCAGCGTACATGATGCTTGGTTTCAGTTCATAACTGTCCTTATTCTTTTTCTTGTGCCCTTTATTACCCAGGGGAGTATAAGCCTTCAACAAACTCACGCCAAGTCATCCGACCTTTCGCTTTTGCATGCAGCTCACTCCATGTCCTCCATATTTTTTTTTTACTTTATTCTCTAGAGTGTTTTTTTTTTCATGCTTTTATTAATATACATACCCCTGTGGGTTCCAGTAATAAAGAAATTCTAGTTATAATGTTCTCTAGTTTTCTCAATGTGTACACTATTCGATGTCAGCCCCTTTCTTCACCTCTGATTCACTGTAATCTGTCATATCTAATACTAAACAAGAAAATCTGTATTAGTTCTCCATTCTCCTCACACATAGTGGGACTAACGAGCACAAGAGGACTCACTATCACAAGAGAATTCACTATCACAAGAGAATTCACTATCACAAGAGAATTCACTATCACAAGAGAATTCACTATCACAAGAGAATTCACTAGCACAAGAGAATTCACTATCACAAGAGAATTCACTATCACAAGAGAATTCACTATCACAAGAGGACTCACTAGCACAAGAGAATTCACTAGCACAAGAGGACTCACTAGCACAAGACTGAAGACAACAGGCTGCTGTAGCCATTTCAGAGGCCCTAATAAAAACTTCTTTGGAGGCTGAATGGGATATCTGGGATTTGCCCTGCTGGTTTGCTACCCAGGATGTGATTTTTGAAGTCTCATGGATGATGGTCAAACTCTCATGTAGCAGCCTAGAAAAGGGAGAGTGGGGTGGGGAGGGGTGGGGGAGTGATAGCCCCACAAATCACTTGAAGAAAATTTCAAGTGTTTAAAAATATGTAGCGCTGTTGGGTTATAAATTATGCCATCTTCACAGCACTGTGGACACGTCCATGTGTGCTCAGATTTGCCCCTCAACATAAACATCAGCGTCCCGTGGTTATAGTGCCAATCCTATGCTGGCTGACAAGACTTCTAGTCAATCTGAGGAGCCTCTCGTGTCTGGCAGTTCTAATCTTTTATTCTAATTCTTGCATTTCTAGCAGCAATGTTGAGTATCCACCATGAGTGTACACCAGGACTATTGAACGGGCAACCAGCGAGCCAAATCTGGCCCACAAAGATTTAGCAAGAGCCCATGAAAAATTGCCAACTGTACTGTATGATCTTGCTGTACTAGGGCTCAGGCCTCTGCCCAGTGACCATCTCCAACTTTCAACATTTTGGCCCCTGAGAAACATAGCCTAATAGTCCTAATGTACATCAAAGTTGAAAGTGCTTTAATCACACTTGTTTAAATAAGCATTATTTGGCTTTCCTCCAAACTTCTAACCCGGCATTATGGCGGCCAAACAAATACCCAAACAGGGCCTCAGTCCTATGAAAAATGCGGATGTCGGACTTCCTGCCGAGGAACAAATCGCGGCAAAACTAGGATCGGCTTCCAATAACGAAACAAATGCTCTAACAGGATCTCAGCAATATGTTTATTGCGGACCTGTTTCTGTGACTATGCCTCACTCGCCGCCTACAGTATCTTCCACGCCGCGCATAGCGGCACGGATGGGGGGCTAAACTAGATGGCTGGGACTCACGAGCAGCAGCTACTGCATCTCCTGCAACTACCTCTAATTTATTTGCTCGTGAGTCCCAGGCATCTAGTTTAGATCCCCATCTGTGCCGCTATGCGCGGCGTGGAAGATACTGTAGGCGACGAGTTTAACCGCGTTTTGCGCATGCCGAAAAGTGTTACAACGACGACGCTGATCTGCGTCGGAGCGCGTGGTCTCCCTGCCATGTCGCTATTATCGACTGTAATATTGGGTGTCTTGAAATTGTCAATGGTCGCTATTATCGTCTGCTACTATCGACTGCAGTGATGCGTCTCTTAAAATTGTCAAGTAATCCTAGTTTTGACGCAATTTGGTCGTTGCAGGAAGTCTGAATTTTAAACACGCTGAGGCCCTGTTAGGTAATTTGTTTAGCCGGGGTAGAAGTTCAGAGGAGAGCCCATTATTTTCTTAATATTAAAAACGTTGAATGATGAATTAAGAATCGACATCACAGCACTCAGGACACCCCCATAAGCGCTCCATCCCCATCTTCAGCAGCAAGCGAAGAGTTAAAATTCTGATGGTACCAGTAACTGTCTGATTGTATAACCTTCTCGCCTTTCCCTTGAGCAACAGCCAGATACCCCAGTGTAACTCCTCGCAGTGCCATCCTCGTCAGACTGTAATGATCTATCTGTTCCTTTGCACTGTTTACTCGCTCCCAAAGGGCCCTCACAACATCCATACATCAGTTCACCACCAAGTGATGTAGAACCGACCAGTCTGTCTGCCTCCTTCTCTAGCAAGCAGGCAATAAATACTAGGGTGACCATTTACTACTTCCTGCACTGAACTCTGAACAAAAATAATTTAAACAGAGAAGTTTAAAGCTTGTCAATAGGATTATAATTATAGTGCTATATGGCAACCATACATACACATCGTCGAAGGGTTGTTGTCTTATTTCAGATCACACAACTGCAACAGGCTGTTCATCTATTAATAACTATTATAGAAACAGTCAAACTGTGGTGTGGTGTCGCTGTCTGTGACTGCAGCCTGTCTGTCCGTCCGTTTGTTTACAATCCTCGCCCAGGTCACATGACCCATCGGGCGGCGATTTCGTCCCGTCCCAGAGAAAAACTTGTCTCCCCAAACAATACTTCCGTTTTTTTAACATCTACCAAACATGGCGGCGCCCATTGATAGACAATTTCTCACTTCTTTTACCCCTGGTAGACATTGTAAAGGTTGTTTGTTGTGTTGTTTGAGCAGGATGAGAGCACACTTACCTGCCCGTCTGTCTTCTTTCGCCCTGTTCAAAGTTTGAGAGAAAATACCTCATGTCCTGAACCGGTTTCAACTGGCGAATGTCCGCCATATGTCTTGCACTCGTTTCTTTCCGTAAGTCACACTTACTGTTTAGAAAACGTACATATTTTGAAATTTCTTGTTTATTTTCTTCCATTTTAAACTTAAAATTAAATGTCCTACTCCAGATGATAATAATATTGTGAATTTTTAAAACTGGATGCTTCGTTTGTTTCCGTATAACCAGTTGATATATGTTATCTCATCGTTGATTGGATGGTATGTTTTGCGCGTTCAGTTTTGTATATTTGTATTTACATTTCTTTGCACGACATACAATTTATTAGTGTTCAGTTAAACTTAGTTTCATATATTCTAAACATATCATTTACACATAATTTTATGTTTCTGTGTAAAGTTTGGTCTCAAATTATGATATCTCGTTCAAGGAAAATAACCCAAGGTCCTCCAATCAAATTTGACTTTACATAAGTTCTTTGACCGACATTAACCCTTCATGTCTTGATAATGTTTCTCAACAAACGTGAAAATTACATTTGGACTGTGCAACTGTGTTAGCTTCGGTTTGGTGAATATTTAGTCTCTGAACACAGGGCAATGCCGTGCTCTGATACAGAGAGGCAATCGCATCAGGTGGCACTACAAGGTATATGCAGGAAAATCAAAATACAGTTTGAACTTTTGATCTGACAGCGCGAAGCTGTTGGGGGGGGGGGGTTTGAAGACTTGCATCATAGTGAGAAGATCTGCTGCACGGGACTGTCTAAACATCATCCTATGTCAGGTCGTGGGTGAAAAATCCTTCATATCACTTGCTTATTAGGAACATTCTTGGTTCCGTGTATTTTCATGGTCACGTATGCTAATGCCCTGGGTAAAAGGGTACCAGAAAATTCTTCGAGAAGTAAAGGCGACTCGTTAGTTACTGACATCACCCAGTGTCGTCTACTTAAAATAAGGGTATATATCGCCATATAGTCTACTAAATGCGTAGCATCAGGCCTTGGTCAATGTGTAGGAACAAACTAGACACACATAGAAAATAAAAACAACAGACTTTAAAAAGCTGGCATAGTTCAGCAATCAATAATAATAAAGTGATATGTCAGAAAACAAAGTTGCTATACTTGATTTCAACCATGATGTCGACAGTATTGCTCAGATAGAATGGAGGGAAGGACTAAGACAGCATTATGTTTAGCGTTAAGAATAATAGTTATGATGATGTCGATAAATCGTATACCAGAGAGTTGTTGCCGTCAATGTATGCTCAAGACTATAAGTCTGAAGAAGAAATCAAGCAGGGCTGTTTTGATTACTTCTATTTTCTATTTAAAAAGAACTGCCATTAAAAAAAATTAACAGTTTCGTGACCGTTATAAATACAACATCAACTTATGAAGAGTTAAAAAGTATTTTCAGCGTGACCCAGTTTCCGTCGTGTATTTTTAGGCTGGTAACTTTCCATCCTTGAGATTCCACCTCGAACCACTTCCGATCCTGTGTCTCAACCAGAGACTTTCTTTCTTGGCATTTTGTCCTGAATCCTGTTTCGGTTTCACATATGACCGACTCGACTCACTGTTCACGTATTGGCCAGTTTATAGTCAGATAAATCCAACATAATATTATTTTTATCAAATACACAATTCTTTGCTTTCACCCCGAATTTGTTCGGTCATATTTCTACAAATAGCAGTGCTTTTGGTTAGTTTGGCTTTCTTGGCCGTGTGTCACTTTATCTCATAGTGCCATTTTTTTTTTTTAAATCTTCAACGGAAAATATGTATGTCATAAATTCTATGTATTTTCTTTATCAAGCTTGCAGTTTCTGTTGAATGTATTATTTATTTAGCCTTCGTATACAAATATGAGACTCGCCTTGCGTTGGTTTCGACATTAGTATCAAGAGCCGACCGTTCACAAGCAATGGCAAACTACTGAACCTGCATAGAGAAACCATAAACAGCCACAACAATGCCGGGGTCGGTTCTGCAACGTCCTT